AATGCCTAATAGAACATAAAACATAATAGAAAACTGTTAAATTTTGGTATATGATATCATTGGTTTACATGTGGCTGTGGGAACATAGCCAGACATTTCACCAATTTCCCCCTGCTCTTGGGACAATGATGTTTGGGAAAATGGAAGGAAAAAGGAAGAGGGGTAGATCAAGGACAAGATGAATGGATGGTATCCTTGAAGTGACTGGCTTGACCCTGAAGGAGCTGGGGGTGGAGACAGCCAACAGGGAGCTCTAGCGTGGGCTAGTCCATAAGGTCACGAAGAGTCGGAAGCGACTGAACGAATAAACAACAACCCCGGCTCTTCAGCAGACAAGGAATTATTGTGATGAGGAGCTGCAGCCTCTAAACAATGTGTTTAGGATGGGGTCAACAGGAAAGACAGTGTAGTCCTATCTATCTACTCTGCAATATAGGATCCCAGCCCGAAAACAAAATAAAATACTAAGTAAATTGAAACCTTCAGTATATTTATTCATCTCCCAATTACATATTTACAAGTTTTTTGATGGATAACAAAACATGAGGTAAGAATTGAGGTATTAATATGCATACAAAATTAAAAATGCAACTCTTACTGACATAACAATGACAATTCAACATTGAATGAAAATATGGCAGCATTCTTCCAGAACAGATGATTAACACTTATTTCAAAACACAACATACTACTTCATGGATACATGGTTGCAAGAAGAAACAAGCACATTAATTTGATTTTGTTTGAAATTCTTGCTGGTCAACGAGACAAGGAAAATATACATCTGCAGTAACAGGTAAGATATGGCCGTCAGCTGTGACATTAGTTATTCTTGCCCTGTCCTCTTGTTCTGCAAGTAGGTAAGTTTGCAAAAATGAAGAAGATGGAAAATGACAGAAGTCTGGGGTGTTGCCAAGTTGTTATGAGCTGGAGCAAATTGAAAGAAAGTGAAAAGTAGCTTTGGTTTGGCTTGGGCCTACTCTTGGGAATTTCTGGTGTGTCAAAATGTATTCTGACTCTCTCCCACAAATTCCCAAAATGTTTCTCAGGTTCACTTATTCTCCAGATATGAAGGGCTGAGAGAGAAAGTGTGATATTATGTTTGGATCACATTGTGGCTTTTTTGTTGTTGACTGATTACTTTATCTAGGAAAGTAGAATCAATATATTAGATCCAATTTTAGGACAGATTCATTAAAATCCACGGTCTTAATCAACTGGCTAGTTCCCTCTAGTGTACAACCAAGTAATATATTGTTGATCCTAAGTCAGCCCTTGAAGAAATATACTCCAGTTGGGTCTAGGAGTTGGCCTGAGGACAACAGAGTTCACCATGACTAACTCAAGTTGCATTAAATTTAGTGGGATTATCCAACTTATGTGATCCAACCCATTAGATCACACACGTTGAAAAGACTGGTGCCGTGTCTCTGGATTTTAATGAATGTCTTAATCAGATCTTAGAAAAGTTACATTTTGGAAGTGTCCATACTGTCTGCAGCATTCTGGAAGTTTGAATACAATGTTGTTAAAGACATTTTGCAAACTCTGGTCTGAATTACACATTTCATTATACTAAACCAGTGGTTCTCAACCTGTGGTTCCCCAGGTGTTTTGGCCTTCAGCTCCCAGATATCCTGGCCAGTTTGCCAGGATATCTGTTAGGATTTCTGGGAGTTGAAGGCCAAAACATCTGGGGACCCACACGTTGAGAACCACTGCACTAAACCAATGGTTCCCAACCAGGTGTTTTGGACCTCCTGGCAGATGGTCAAGTTAGCTGGGGCTTTTGGGAGTCCCAAATATGTGGAGGATCAAAGTTTTGGAACCACTACACTAATCCTTGAAGTAACTGTTTAAATACACTATTGGTTCTAGCCAAATCTATTTTGTATAGTCTTGTTAAGCATGTTGACCAGGAGCAATGGTGGATGTTGTCAGACTGCAACTCCTAATAGACCTAGTATTCTTCACCATCCAATAGTAAGGAATGCTGGGAGTTGGTAGCATAATTTCAACCCAACACAGGGTCATAGTCTACCAGTAAAAACAATTTCCTGATAAAAAATACAGATAACCATGAACAGTCTAAATATAAGAGACTTCCCTGCGTATCCTTAACTAGATACAGTTTTCCATTGGAAATACTGGTACATTCATAATATATTTCAGATACTGCTATAGTGTACAATTATTGCTATATTGCTGGCATGAGGCTGGTCTTTAAACATTTACAGTATAATTCAGTATAGCTTATCATATGACTTTGAATGATCATTTATAAACTTTGATTTTGACATGTCAGGGCAGTTGGTTGTTTCATGGCACTTGAATACATTCTCATTCCAACTTTTTCCCCCAACCAGTACTTTTTCATTGGCAATCAGTAGTAGAACCGGCTATACTAGTTCTTCCTCTTGTGTAGCCATATTGCTGCATTGTTATAAATGTATCATATAAATGGTTATAGGTACAGAAGAGGGAGGAAAATCACATCCTTATATCATGTATTTTGTGTCTGTGTTGTTTCCAAACATTTTAATGTTTGAAAACATTTATTAAAGTGGTGGAAGCTCCTTCCTTGGAGGTTTTCAAACAGAGGCTGGATGGGCATCTGTCAGGGGTGCTTTGATTGTGCTTTTCCTGCATGGCAGGGGGTTGGATTAGATGGCCCATGAGGTCTCTTCTAACTGTATGATTCTAATGTCTCCAAAATACAGTAAAGGAAACACCACATTATGAGTAAATCTAGTTCTGCTAAAGCGGAAAAGTTGAACCTGTTTTCAATCTGACATTTATACCTCTGAAGAGCCCAGAGCTGAATATGAGCAAGATGTAACAAGGCCAAGAGTTTATACATTGGTTGGGAAAATGAAGCCAGTATAGCAATACACAGTTATCACCACCACATTGTTGTGTAAATAATAAGCAGTGATTGCTATGGATTCATAACATGGTTTTCTCAGTCCTAAATTGGATGCCATGACTGCACAACTTTTGAGAAAATGCAACCATTTGTGGAATGACATTTACATCTACATAAAGCCATAACAGATTCCAGCCGACAGTGCTGACAGAGATGATCATGGCGGGTTCATGCAATATTCAGTTAACTTTGTATATGTGCAACTGAGACAGATGAAAAGAGTAGACTAAAATCACAGCAGGTCAGAGGAAGGGCTTTGCTTGTGCCAGGGTCCCCCAGATTGTAGGCAAATATTGCATAAAGCACAGCCTCAGAATACAGAAACTAAGATCAGATGAAAGTGATCATGAACAATTATTCCTTTCTCAGATTATTGCTAGGAGTTTCTAATTCATTGGGATTAGGAGGCAAACACATCCATCCAAGGATACTTCTAGTTAGATCTGACTTTCTGAATAGGATGCTTAAGTACTGTAGATTGGCGACAAAGTGTACAGCCTAAGGATCATGGCACCAGAGCTTTCCCAAGAGTCTCACCTATTTGTGCAAGTCCAGATATTGTACATAAATTATGCAAACATTTAAAAACATATACCAGTAGCTAACATTTATACCAACAGCTAACACTGAATCTATATAGTCCATGGTAACCACAAGTTAGAAGCCTGTTGTTAATATGCATTGGCACTATCACAGCCCATCACTTGTTGCAAATAATGAAGGGTTTCCTGGCTGAGTGGGTACTGCCAGATGGTACCTGGAGGTTCCTTGCATCAAGACTCTGAAACTGGTCCCAGAGCCTTCAGACTCTGGCAGAAAATACCAATGAAGGTAATCTAGTAAACATTTCTACCCTAGTGCTTAAAGAGAGTCTTGCCAATAAACTCCTATGAAGTGTATGTCTTCTTTTTTCTGCGCTGTGGCTTGAAATGGAAGGAAGTTCCTTCAACAACATTGTCAAAGTTTGCTAAAATTGTGCTTGTCCTTTTGTATAATGTTGGATCCCATCCAATGAATCAAACACTGGCAATCTAATCCATAGATGGGCTACTGTGAGAGGTGGCTTGGGGGTCACATTGATTTTCCAGGAGATCTTGGACAACCAGAACCCCATCACACCCTTTGAAAATAAAAAATCCAATTTTTGACCTCCAAGTGCTGGTCAGGAAAGAATTGTTTGCCAGGCTTCCTGGACCATTCCAAGATGAAGTGTTTTTGGGCTTCCTGGACCATTCCAAGATGAAGTGAGAGCTTTTTAGAAATAAAAAAGCCTTTTAGGGCCTAAAGTGGCCCAGGGTTTAAAAAATAATGGAAAATCTCTTCTAGAGGCCACTTGGAGCAAAACATTATGGGTTTTTTGTAGGATGTGGTAGAACACGTTGCCCTCCAAGGTCTAACCCCAGCTTCCCAGAACTGTACTGTTTCAAAGTACTGTAGTTTTTTACTCGTTAGCCAACTGTTTTTGCCTCTGGGTTGCACATTGCTCATTCTGATCTAACAAGATGTGTAGCTAAGTGTGCTAGAAACAAACCCTGCAAAGTTTACTATGGCACATTCCTACCCAAGTCTACATAGGATTGCAGCCTGGTGTCTAAACAAACATAAACTTACAATAAAACATAGAAAGCTAGAATGACTCCAACTTGGAATTGTAAGGGATAACAATATGCTTTAGACTAAGGAATAATACTGCATGTTTGTTTTATATTAATCGCATGTACATAAATATGCATACATATGACTGAAAACCCTGGTTTCCATAAATTGTTTCATAAACATATGATTGAATCAACAGAATTTTGCTCTTTATGCAAATAAACATTATCTTTATATGTATTAAAGATCCAATTGTGTCCCTCAATGAGGGAGAGAGGGCGGGGTATAAAATGAAGTAAATAAACAAAATCTACACTGCCACATAATCCAGTTTCTGAATCCAGATCATTTGCTTTGAACCAGATTATATGACAGTGTATGCCAATATAATCCAGTTCAAAGCAGATAAGATGTGTAACCAGGAGCCTACTCCATTCTCATTCATTATGATAGTATATCTTGAAAAAAGGTTTCTGCCTTTTCTTGTTCTATTCCTAGAAAATTCAGTCCCATTGAAATGGGAGAGAAGTTAATTCCAAGTCACTCATTTAGGATCAAGGCCATCCTAGATCAGGTTATATCCATCATAAATCAGGTTATGGAAAGCTTTGACATGGCTGCTAAGACCTCTTCACATCCCCATGAATTCCAGAAATGTATCTCCCATAGATATTGGGGGTCATACTGTATTAACCTTAGGACCATGATTAACAATGATGGAGAGAACGAAGGTGACTCATATTGCTGGAAGTAATGCTTTATTAACAATTGCTAGGTATGTTTTTCTGTAGACCTTAAATGCAACGTGTTTGTTAGAATGTTGGCACAAATATTCATATAAACCAGATGTGGGCATGGGACATCTTATTGCAATACATGAGGACCCCATGGCCACTGTGGTTTTGTGGCAGCCAGTGAGGTTTTTGCCATTGGCACAGCTGTTCCTGACATCTGGTGGCAGCTGTGGTGATTCTCCATGGTGCAGGAAGCTCCAGCGCTCCTTGATTATACTCCTGAAAAGGAAGACTAGAAAGATGTTTGACGTGTGAATTCTGGCAAGGTGATCTTCTCTCAGGGATGATGAGAGACACCGAAATGGCCATATGGAATGTAATTCATGTTTTGCCCACCTCCAATATATTTGGAACTCTTTAAAAAGTCAGAGAAAGTGTTATAAATAAGTCTTAGTAAAATCAATGGACCGATTTAGATATATCAAGTGATGGACCAGATGTCTGTGCTATATCTGCATGTACTTCCCTAAAAAGCTTAGTTTTTGCATTTTGTGTCTCATCTCACTCTATATCATTGGCAGCATGATGGAATCTAAATGTTCTCTCTCATCTCCAAAAACATTCCTGAGATTCTAAATTGAGCAAATGGAGGAAAACACTCAAATGATGCAGTTTTGTGTCTTAGCAGTACTACTCCAATGGCTGTCAAGCTCTCAAAATTGCTGCTGGTGGCCACCGATAGGGAGGGAGAAGCAGATAATGGAGCAGCCAGTCTTGGAAGAGGGAAGAAATGAGTGTGTGCTCACATATGGAGTACATTCCCCTTTTCTTCCCCCTAGAGCACAGATCAACTGGATCTGAATGACCACTGTTGGAGTTTGACACTTGCCAGAAGGGAGGTTTTGGATAATGAGCAAAGGGCTTGCCCCTTGTGCCTTCTGCAAAAAGAGATATGACTAAGGAAGCCATGGCACTGAGTTTGCAGGACCTGAGCAGGGCTGTTGAGGATAGTCTAGTCTGAAGAGCTCTCATCCATAAGTCAAAGTCAGCTTTGTTGACAATTAATAATAATCGGCTTTTTGGAGAGTTCTATTGCAAGTGTAGACTAGCTATAGATTAAATCAAAAGATTGAGGTTTGAGCACCCAACAATAACGTTATTAGGATTTGCCCTAATATTCTGTTGTTCATGACTTTTGACAATGCTTAAAGACTTAACAAAGTCTTATCTTGCTATGCTTATCTCCATGCTTCATCTTAGAAATAGTGCTACAGGGGAACAATTAAGTATTCAATTGGTTGCAATGTCATATTTTTTATGATAACAGCACACAGCTTGAGAGATATTCAGCTCTAACAGTGTGAAAATAAATTCCAAATAAATGTAGAGCATTTCTTCTAGAAAGCACCAGCTTATATAAAAAACTTAATAATATATATACATATATAATTAGATTATTTACATAACAGAGCATATACAATATTTACATTTCTACATTTCTTATGTACATTTTAAAATAAGCTTCTCAGAAGCTTTTAAATATTTGATTTAAGCAATATCAACAATGGCAGTAGTCTGTTTTTAAAGCCTGAAGAAACTGTTCTCAAGTTAAGGAAATCAACTGAAGTGAGAAATGAGGATGAGTGACAGTTCCAGGCAACGGCAAAGCCTTCCAAATAAGGCATGACTTAGCTATGGCGCGAAAGGAGACTGAAAATCCAGTGGCTCCAGTTCATGCATGGAACTCCATACATGCAGGGTCTCCATCACTCAGATTTTTGTTTCTGGTCCTTCAGCAATCAGGGGTTGAAATGAATTTCTGATATTGGCAACTTCAGATGCACACAGATGTCCAAAGCCTTTATTGTACCATTCTAATGAATGACCTCTGAAGGGAAAGCAAAGAGAAAAAGCTATTGTTAAAAAAATCCTACCAAATTTCATCTAAATCAGTGGTTCCCAACCTGTGGGCTGTGAGACCTAAAATAAGGTTCATGGCTCTAGATTATTAAATAAGGTTTTCCATGGGTGAGCAGATGGTGACTACCGTTCTGTATCAGAAACTAGAGCTCCTATGCAAGTTTCTGAATCAGCACCTCCTATGTGGTCACTCCTATGCAAGTTTCTGAATCAGCACGTCAGATAACCAAACCAAATCTAAAGTTAACCAAAAACTGATTCGTAACCCTTTTGGTACTAATGTTGGAGAGTGGTCCCTGGTCAAGTGCTCTCTGTTCAACATGTGAATTGGTTTCAGACTTAAGATGGCTACCACTTTGGTTAATTTCTTCATCTGGAAAATGGCAACAATAACAAAATTGCCAAGAGGATTAACAAAAACAACAAATCTTCAGCGCTCAACTGGCTTCCATCTCTTTCCTAGTCACAAATGCAGAAAGGAAATCTTAGTTTGGTTGAATTTCGTATGCACAGCTGGGTGCAGAACTGAAGCTCCAAGCAGCAATATAAAAACATTTAAGAATACTAATGCTTGCCAACTTTACTGCACCAAGGGGGAAGCATCAGCTCAATGAGCAAATGATACATTATTATTTCATTTTATTTTGAAAAATAAATTCAATGAAGAAGATAGATTCTTCACTGAAATAATATATCCTTTCAGATTTATAACCTTTGCTGAAATCATCAAGGAAGCATCTTCTCCCCCAAATGTTTTTTTTTGCTGATTCCCTTGTGATTCAAAAAATAAATAAATAAATTAGATACTCCCAAGTACAAAAAATACATGAATTAAACTGCTGAATCCCTTGTGCAACTTACAAAATTATATTCACATATTGGTATTAGATGCAAGTGGCCTATAACCTTTTTTTAAGATTATGCAACTGATCCTAATAAAATGACGTGTGGCCATTGACAATTTCCGCTGATTACATATGGATGACTTCCAGAAACATTCACAGCACACAGTTTATTCTAGATTAAATAGGATAAAGCCAAAAGCTTAATAATAAAAAGTTGGAACACAAGGCAAGCCATTCTTTAATTTAATTCTACTTAATGTTTGTATATTTTAAGGTTTTACATTGTATTCATTTGGTTTTACTGTAAGCAATTTTGAGTCTCTTATGTAGATAGCAAAAATGGGGTTTAAATAAAAGTAATAATAATAATAATAATAATAATAATAATAATAATAATAATAAAAAACAATTGGCCATCTGAATTACCATCTGTCAGCTGCAAAAGGTCACCCTACCCAGATCTGCACACATTATTCGACGATACATCACACAGTCCTAGATAATTGGAAAGTGTCCAATACAGAAGCCAGCCTAGTGATCTTGTTTGCTGTGTACTAATCTTGTTATCTATCAAATAATAATAATAATAATGATAATAATAATAATAATAATAATAATAATTCTTGCTGGCCTATAATTTTTGGACCTCCCCCCCCCTTTAGATATACTAAATGTCTCTGTCTTTGCTGCCTTTAACAACAACAACAACAACAACAACAACATTTTCAAATTAATTTTTGTCATTTTAAGGATATATTTTGAATTGTTTTAACATTGTTTAAAGTTTAGATCTGTTTTAATATGATCTTTTTGCATGTTTTAACTATCTTGTAACCATTTAATTTTCCCCCCAAAATGCCTTGAGTTTCAATTTTGTAAATAAGATAGCATTGAAGATAAATAGTGACAACAAGGAGAAAACAGGATTAAATGAGATATCGTACTATGTATGAATGCGTATTTGTGCCTTCAAGTCATCTGTTGACTTATGGCAATCCTATGGGTTTCAAAGGGCTTCTGAGGCAACTGGTTTTGCAAGTTTCTTCCTCTGAATAAGCCTACATTATCTGGGATTCCATGCCAGACTTCCATCCAAGTACTATTATTATTATTTATTTTCTTGCACTTATTAACCGCCACTCTCAGCCCTAGGGCGACTCGTGGCGGTGTACAAAACATAGAAAAGACAATTTACAAAAGTCATGACAACACAACAACATTCTACTAATACATAACATCTAATTATACTAAAAATCCGCTTCGTCTAGTCATGGGGACATAATCAGTCTCATAGTCGTAGTCCGTTCCAGGTGTCAATTACCAATTGCCGTAGTATTTAGTTGAAGGCCTTCTCGAATAGCCAGGTCTTTAGGCTCCTGCGGAAGGATAGAAGGGAGGGCGCCTGTCTAATGTCAACAGGAAGGTCGTTCCACAGCCGGGGGGCCACCACCGAGAAGGCCCTCTCTCTCGTCCCCGCCAGGCGTGCCTGTGAGGCAGGCGGGATCGAGAGAAGGGCCTCCCCAGATGATCTCAAGGTCCTCGTGGGCTCATAGGCCGAGATGCGGTCCGAAAGGTATTTTGGGCCGGAACCGTTTAGGGCTTTGTAGGATAACACCAGCACCTTAAATTGGGCCCGGTAGCAAATCGGCAGCCAGTGGAGCTGGAACAACAAGGGCGTTGTATGCTCCCTGCGTCCTGCTCCAGTTAACAACAACATACTAACTAGGACCGACTCTGTTTAGCTTCCAAGATCAGACAGAGTGTGATGCCTTTTGGGTATTTAAATTCTTATTATCATGCCAAAACCACAATTTTTTAAAGTGTGAAATAATTTTGAAAAACTAGAACAATTACTGGTAAAACAAAAATATAGCACCCTCATTAAAAGACTCATCTTAAAATCTTAATTACGGGCACTCCCCAGGTTACAAACTGTCAACAGTTTTTACATTAAATCATTTCTTAAATGACAACAAGTAAGTGTAAGGATCAGGGCCAACAAGGATTAAGAGTCCACCTGACTAGCATTGAACAATGTACAGCCATAGTGGAGTAGTTGTAAGTGTATTAAGATTTTCTGGTGTTATTGATGTTGTTGCTGCGTGCTGTTGGAGATTAAGCTGCAAAGAAACTGAAGGATTGGTGAAGAAAACCAGAGAGAGCCTTCTGCCAAGAAGGTATGAACTAACTGAGAGTATCAAGAAGAAGGGCTGGAATGAGCCATCTTTGTTGTTGTTGTTCTTTTAAAAACTGGAGAAGAGACAAGATCTTCTGTTACACATGTAAATATTTCAGTATAAATTTTGCTACTGACAAGACAAGTAAGTATTTGTCTGCTCCTTAATCAGAGGGGGAGTGCTTCCATTATAGAAGGGAATAGTTTTGTTGCTAAACACAGAACCATTTTTTTTTTGCTGCAACACGAACAAGATAGGCTCTGTAGGTTTGTTCTTAAGTTGAATTGGGATGTAAGTCGGAACAGGTAAATTTTAAAGTGTCATTCCAGCCAAATAGCATTTTAGTTTTGGATAGCGCAGGGAAGGGTCTGTGTCCCTGTTCAGAAAATTTGACATCACATTTTGTTCCTGAGGTAACTGGATTCTTTTAAAAATTGGCTTTTTGTGGAAACAAAGATGGGTGAGAAAGCTTCAGCAGAGACATCTTTTCCCTATGATAACTCTTTCGGGAGTTAATTTCTCTTCCGAGGGATAGATTTCTCTCATTACCTGTTGTCTTTCCTACATTTGTAACTAGGAGTTGTATATAAATTGGTAGTTTGTAAGTCTGGGCCTGCCTGTAATCATCACATTTATCTTAAATTAGAATGAAGCTAAGATACAACACCCCTCATTGAAATATTTATTTAAAGTGTTAATTAATCATCAAATGCCTGTTTAAATAAAAAAAGTCTAACTTCCAATGAATGGAGAGCAAAGCAAGCGTCTGCTTAATTTCTCTCATGAAAAGAACTTCCACAGTCTGGGAGAAGCCACCAAGAAACCTCTCCTTTGTCTTTTCTTCAGACAGATATCCAGTGATAATGGTGGGAATTAGATACTTCACTTACTTTGCTCAGCTAGATCCCACAATCATGTGTGTAGTAGCTAAAGGGAAGCTGAGAGGCTGCCACAAGGAGAACAGAGTTGGGAAATCTGTTACCAGCCAATTACACATTTAACTGGATCCAGCCCATTGCTCAGAGTGTTTGCTCCTGGGATTTAACTTAATGAGCGTTTTGGAACCAACGGTACTTACCTGAAGTCAATCCTGCAGATATGTGTCAGACGAGATTTTCCTGACCCACAAGGCTCTATTAAATACTGGGAATCCAAAACAACTGCCCGCACACCTCCCATCAGAGGACCTTCTTCATGTTCAACTGAGATGGCCACTAAGATGCACATTCCCTTTGGCAAGTCTGTTCTCCAGGTCCTATTAAAATATTAGAAAAAGAAAATGTTAGGCACAAGGAAGAATTACAGTTAAACAAGATATCTAAGCCTGTATTTCAACATTTTTTCAGTTCTTGTCTTTACTTGGAAAACATACTTTTTGTTTTTTTTGTTTTTTATTATTATTATGATTTGATAAACAACAAGATTGGTACACAGCAAACAAGATCACTGTGCTGGCTTTTGTATTGGATCACACATCGGACACTACTCAAGCGTCTAGGACTGTGTGATGTATCGGTAAATAAAGCGTGCAGATCTGAGTAGGGTGGCCTTTTGCAGCTGACAGATGGTAATTTTATCAGGACCAATTCTTTTTAAGTGCAGGCCAAGGTCTTTAGACACGACACCCAGTGTGCTGATAATCACTGGGACCCCCTTTACTGGCTTGTGCCATAAAGGGGGAGTCTTTGCAGTTTGTACTGGAGTCTTTGCAGTTTGATCTTTAAATCCTCGTATCGTGTAAGCTTTTCCAGTTGCTTCTTGTTGATTCTGCTGTCGCCTGGGATTGAAACATTGAAGATCCATACCCCCCCCCCCCTCACCACTATCATGAAGTCTAGAATATTGTGCTCCAAAACTCTGTCAGTCTGAATTCGGAAGTCCCAGAGTATTTTGATGTGTTTATTTTCTGTAACCTTTTCCGATTTGTGATCCCACTAGTTATTGTTTTTTTTATTGTTGTTATTTTACTGTTCTATTGTAAACCTGCCTTTGCACTTTCTTCTTTGACCTAAAAACAACTTTATATACAATATATTGCACATATCCAATAAATCACAACATTTCCTATAGCTTGTTTTCTTCTTGTTGTCCCACAAGCATATCTGTGCTATACTAAGGATTATAATTAGAAAGTTTCTTGATTATTCTAGCAATTGTTCCATTTTTTCTCAATGTGTTGCCTCTGTTTTAAACTTTATTTCAGCATAAAATAAATTCCATGCAAAGAACAATGATTCTCCAGAGAGAGGAAAAGTCAGAACAATTAGATCAGCTTTGTTTATGTAATTCTGACAGCTTGTGCAGCTGCATAAATTAAACAATAGTCTTTGTCAGATATCAAGTTTAAGAAAGTGGACACTTTTAAGGTTTTATGAGAGAACTTCACAAATACAGCTTAGAAGACAAGATTTTTTAATTAGGAAAAAAGTATCACTGAGAAAGAGCTAGCATAGTGTGGTGGTTTGAGTAATGTGCTATGACTCCAGAGGCCAGGGATCCAATCCACATGGAAACCTACTGCATGATCTTGGGCAAGTTGCACACTTTCAGCCTCAGAGGAAAGCAGGGACAAACCCCCTCTGAACAAATCTTTCCAAGAAACCCCTGAGATAGCTTTGCATTAGAGTTTGCATAAATCAGAAATGACTTCAAGGAATAGAACTGCACAACAAATCATTTGGGGAAAATGTTATGAATGCTAGAGGTGACACAATGATACACAAAGTACAAAGCAATAAATGAGAAAGATAGATAGACAGTAAACTAGCTCATTCTGAGTTGCTTCTAACAGTAAATTAATTTACCTGAGGACTGAAAAGTCTCTGGAAGGATGCGGAGCCATACTGTTCAAAACATATTGATAGATCTCAGTTTGCTTATCCAAAGTTTCAATGACCTTCCACTGCAAGAAATCCTCATCCCAAAGGTGCCGTTCTCTTAGCACACGGTTCAAGACAACAGAAGGAGGAGCTTCAACTTCCACAGAAGCCTTCCATAGCCTTAGAGGATTCCCATCTCCGACCTGAATTCAAGTTGTTGAGGGGGATGGAGTTGAAAGGAAACATCTAAGTGAGACATAGGCTTGATTTGAAGAAGTCCGCCTATGTGCCTATATTACTTCTATGTGCTTAAAACAGATATATCTACTTTCCAGTTCATTTTCAGGACTCCGTGCTATGTTGGATGTTAATGCAGAAGATAGTAGAGTATGACCCCCATATATTCATTCCAAACACCCCCGTGGATTCCTGAAACCATGGAGTATAGTGAAATATATATTTTTATTGTACTTGGGCATACCCAAAAATTGCACTGGAGGATCTAGAGAGATCCATAAACATTTTTGAGAAGAACAGTGGGTTGAAGTTCGGATAAATAAAACTGTGGATAACGGATCTACAGCTAAGGTGAATCACATTGCATTTTTCAATATTCACAACACATTTTAGAGCTCATGAAAGCTGAGAAAAAGGAAGGTTCCTCAAAATCCTAATAAAATCCAATAAATTAAAACTAGATGCTTCTGCCACCATCTCAAACACAGCTGGTGGGGATGAGGGAGAGGGCCTTCTTGGTGGTGGCCCCCAAATTTAGAATACCCTCCCCAGGGAGATCAGGCAGGCCTCCACACTGTTCCCCTTTCGTAGGGATCTGAAAACCCGGTTTTCGAGAATGATTAGTTCCTAGGTCTAGTCCCAAGGTCGCCAAATAGTACTCAGTCCTGCACTTCATTCATTTCCCTGGTCCTATGATACACTGCTTGCACTATCCCTTGCCCAGCCCCTTTATATTTGGCCACATCCAGTTTATAATCCTGGTCATTGGTTTGTTGAACCTTGCCTGATGTAGCTATAATGCAATTGGTTTCATTTTTTTTATTTTTAGTGTGTTTTAACAGGATTTTTGTATTTGATGATGCTTTTATTTTTGTTGTTTTGTTTATTAAGTTAAATTAGGTTGTTTTTATATTGTCTAATGTGCTTGTCTAGATGTAATTTGTCTGTATGGTTTTCTTTTTGGCAATTGAATGTTTGCCTTAAATGTTGGACACCACCCTGAGTCCCTTCAAGGAGATAGGGCGATAAACACATGATGGTGATGATGATTATGTATACACTGTCATTTAAATATCTTAATTATGAAATGTATTCCTTTAAATTAAAAACAAGAACATAATGAGTACCTCGCTGGGAGGAGAAAAGCGATATATAACTGAAGTAAATAAAAAAATAGTTATATAAATATTTTGTTATTTAAAAATCTATGGAAATGAAAGATAATCGTAGGATATTCCATTTGTAAATTAAATCTCAGAAGACAACAGTGTTTAAAGGAGATTAGATAATGGAACTTTGCAGTGTCAAACCAAAACATTAAACATGACACACTGGGTGTCTCTAATGTAAGAGACTGCTTAATAAATATGATTTACTTATGTTAAGTTTTCCATCAAGACATTTTCCTTTAAAAAACCATTAGTTATATTTTTGGCTTTTTACTAATGATGGAATAGATTCAGAGTAGGCCTAATGAAACCCATTGACATACTTTAAAGATGCACCTGGTAGTGCAACGGGTTAAACCCTTGTGCCGGCAGGACTGCTGACTGAAAGGACGGCGGTTCAAATCTGGGGAGCTGGGTGAGCTCCCATCTGTCAGCTCCAGATTCTCATGTGGGGACATGAGAGAAGCCTCCCAAAGGATGGTAATACTACTAGGCATTCCCTGGGCAACATCCTTGTAGACGGCCAATACTCTCACACCAGAAGCGACTTGCAATTTCTCAAGTTGCTCCCGACACGAAAAAAAATACCCTTTAAAGATGGCAAATTCTGGAACCTCTTCTATATAGAAACATGAACTTAAAATACACACCACGATGGATGGATGTGTGACCCTTTGTTTTACAGTTAAAATTAAAATTAGTGTTTTACAGTTAAAATTAAAGTTATCAATGCTAACAATGGGGTGTCCCAGTTAGCATGCATATTTTCTGAGTGCAAAAAATACCTTTCTGTAGGAGAGATCTGTATTTTCAATGCTGGAACAAGTGACCCATCCTTTGAATTTGTCCTTAGCTTCTTTACAGAGGTTCTGTACAAGCCCTTCCAGATAGGTCTGGAAACTTCCACCTTCTTCATCCATTTGTTTGCCCAGTTCCTGTAACGTGGGGGGATGTACTTCAGCCTCAATATAGGAGTTACGGGATTGGGTTACCATCTCATGCGGGATCTGCTCCAAAGAATGAGAAAGTGCAGAGAAAGCTTCATATTAAAGAATAATACATTTGGTGTATTATCCTGGCCAACACACATTTTGGTACCTCAAATGTTAGAACTGTATCTGGGTACACTTGACCTGTTGAATACATAAAGAACACCAGTTTTTCCCCATAAGCTTTAGTTTTTAAGATACAGTTCATAAGCCATACACCACTTTTCATCTGTTTGTACACAGAAAATAAGGATAACTGTATCTAAGAAACTAGAGCTGATGCAGTCAATTCAATGCAATTTTCTGAATCAATGCCCCAAATCATCCCCCAAACAGGCCAAAAAATGACAATACCAAGCTGTGTTATTTTTGAGCCACATTATTTCATGGAAATTCAACAAGAATTCAGTGTATTATTATTACAATGAAGCCTCTATTAAAGCCACCTCTATGCCAATGCATAGAGGTGGCAGTTTAGGAATGACAATTCTCATAAGCATTGGGGGCCAGGTGAAATTATTGGTCTGTCTCCCCACATTTCTCTCTGCCCATTATCTAAAATTAATGGGAAACAACAATCCCATTCAATATATTTTTGGAGAGCAGATCTCTTTGCTGAGCTCCTGCCTGCAGGGCTTTTTGTGTGTGTCAGGAGCGACTTGAGAAACTGCAAATTGCTTCTGGTGTGACAGAATTGGCCCTCCGCAAGGATGTTGCCAGGGGACACCCGGATGTTTTACAATCCTATGGGAGGCTTCTCTCATGTCCTCACATGGGGAGCTGGAGCTGACAGAGGGAGCTCATCCGCACTCTGATCCTAGATTCGAACCTCTGACCTATCGGTCTTCAGTCCTGTTGACGAAAGGGTTTAACCCAATGCGCCATCAGGGGCTCTGCCTGCAGGGTGGTAATGAAGAAAAAACACCCCCCATTTCTTTCTACAAATAAGGATAACATTATTTACACTAGATTCAGTACTGTTGTACCCGGTGGTGCAATGGATTAAACCCTTGTGCCAACAGGACTGAAGACCGATAGGTTGGAGGTTCAAATCTGGGGAAGAGTGCAGATGAGCTCCCTCTGTCAGCTCCAGCTTCCCATGCGGGGACATGAGAGAAGCCTCCCACAATATGGTAAAACATCTCGGTGTCCCAGGGCAACATCCTTGCAGAGGGCCAATTCTCTCACAACAGAAGCAACTTGCAGTTTCTCAAGTTGCTCCTGACATGAAAAAAGAAAAGTACTGTTTCAAATTCCACTCTGTGTAGGGGTCTGATTTGAGAAAAAAAAATTAAAAAGGAAATCAGAAGATAACAGGAAATGCTTGGTACGTAGTTTCACAAGACACTCTGCTTCTGAAGAAGCATTTCACTCCAAAATACGCCAAGTATTTGTAAAGAATAATTTCATAGGCTTCTTTTATCACTGAACTATTTATCTCTCCTTTTTGTACTTAATTCGACTTAAAAATAAACTATGAGAAAGAATTTAAAATCATATTGAAAACCTGACGTCTTTAGGTAATTGTTTTGGCTTTGCTCTGATGCTAGCCTTTGAGATGAGAGAGATTTATCTCCATTAAGTAAAACTGTTTTGATAAAACTGGAGTCCTTGGGATATAACAAACTATAAGTCAATATAAATAGGCAGGGAGGGAACCATATTAAGAAACTTCCACTAGAAACACCCCAATTCAAAAAACTATTATTTCAAGGCCGAAATACAAAAAGCTATATAGGCTAAGTGCTTCAAAGGATGCTCCCTTCAGAATATTACGCTCATGAATAATGCTATCTGAATCTTTCGCTCACCTCAAAAAGTTTACCATATTCCGTTATCATGTGTGCAAGTCCCTGAGTAGCTGCCAGGTTTTCACTGAGATCTTTCTGATCTGGCTTCCCTGTTGCGTATTTCTTCTGTATGACTCTGAAAATGAATTCAGCATCTCAAGTAAGATAAAGGAGTGAAGTTATCTTTAGATGAAAGATGGGGTTGGGGGGAAACTATGACACATCTCCTTTTGGTATCGAACTATAGACAGTGCTTTATAACTCTACTTTTGTCACATCACAAGAGTCGAGGAAATATCCCTTTTTTTAACTGCAGAGGAAAGAAGTATACTTGATTTTTTCTTAAGGAATAAAGTAAGAACAAAGGGTGTGTACTGGGTATTGTACGTGGTCTACAAGAAGCAAGATGACTGGTTGAATTCTAACATTTCCAGAGAAATGTTCCATAACATAACATCCCTGCACATTATATAGGCTAAACTACTTTATTCCTGGAAAAGGAGGCACAGACAGAGAAGTCAATATGACAGAGACAACAAATCTTGAATATGATTGTTTTCCCCCTTGTTTGCCATGCTGTGCACAAAAAAGATGCAGCTCTTAATGAATACATTTGGAAGTACAAGAATTTCAGTTTGAATAAAATCGCTACACAAAAATGTATCTTCTTCATTCATTTATGCGGAGCCCCTGGTGGTGCAGTGGGTTAAACCCCTGTGCCGGCAGGACTGAAGACCGACAGGTCGCAGGTTCGAATCCGGGGAGAGACGGATGAGCTCCCTCTATCAGCTCCAGCTCTTCATGTGGGGACATGAGAGAAGCCTCCCACAAGGATGATAAAAACATCAAATCATCCAGGTGTCCCCTGGGCAACGTCCTTGCAGACGGCCAATTCTCTCACATCAGAAGCGACTTGCTCCTGACACGACAATATATATATATATATGTGGTATCCCACCCTTCCCTTGTCCACAGACACCTCCAAGGCCATGTGGCTGGCATGACTGCACGGAGTACCGTTATCTTCCAACTGAAGCGGTATCTATTGATCTACTCACATCTGCATGTTTTCGAACTGCTAGGTGGGCAGAAGCTGGGGCTAACAAAAGGAACTCACTCCGCCTGTGGATTCGAACCCTCAACCATTCTGTACAATTAATGCATTTTGACACCACTTTAACTGCCACGGCTCAATGCTGTGGAATCCTGGGATATATAATTTGATGAGGCAGCAACACCCTTTGACAAAGAATCCTAAAGACTTTATAAAATTACAGCTCCTCTTATTCCATAGCAATGGAAGCGGTCATATTATTGTTAATAATATTTAACTGCCTATGTATATTTAATGTTTTAATCAATGTTTTCATTGTGTTTTATCGCTATGATGTGTGTTGGCATCAAATTGTTGCCGGTGCAAGCCTCCCTGAGTCCTCCCTCGGGGGTTGAGAAGGACGGGGTACAAATGTTTGAAATAATAATAATAATAATAATAATAATAATAATAATAATAATTGTGCCATGGAAAACAAAGTGGTGTCAAATGGCATTAATTCCACAGTGTAGATGCTCCCTAAGTTTGCATGCCCAAATTCCATGCTCTGGCGTATATATTACAATGGCTCTGATTTAGTCATAATTCAGTCATAATTCAGAGAGACAACTAGACAATTGGACATGTGGACAATTTCAACAAAAAGGAGGAAACCATGAAAATGAACAAAATTTGGTTACCGGTATTAAGAAACTCTAAAATCAGGACAGTAAATAAAGAACAACACTCTGAAAATAGGGGAATTCCAGACATGAAGTAATCAGGGCCAGCTAACACCTCCCAACAAAGGATCTCCCCAGGCAGGAATCAGCCAGACATTGAAGCTGCAAGGCTTTGCAATCCTAATCAAGGAGATTAATTGCAACATTCACACTTGCTTCAAACAGACAAAAGTTATTTCTCTCACTGTGGACCTTCCACAGATATATAGACCTTCCTTGCCTAGTTTCCAATATACCTCACAACCTCTGAGGATGTCTGCCATAGATGTGGGAAAAACATCAGGAGAGAATCCTTCTGGAGCATAACAATACAGCCCAGAAAACTCACAGCAACACATTCAGATAGATTGTTCTTATATGTCTTTAAATAAAATTTAGATGAAGTTTGATAACATATTACACTGTTACCTAAACCATTTAGAACCAGGTGAGGAAACTACAGTCCTTCAGATCTTGTTGATCTTATAATGAAAAAGGGAACAAAAATATCACAGTCCTACAAAATAGTTGTAATGTTAGTTAGATGTGCCTTCTTTACAGGAAAAGAAACTAATTACAAGTGATTCCTTGAACAAGTTACTTCCAAGCAGGAAGAAAAGCAAAGGAAACTATCAAAAAATACTTACCGTGGGGAGCTGTCTTTCTTTATTATGTTGAGATGAAACAGAGATGGGGCCAAGCACACAGCTATGTTCATGGGAGTCATTTGATTCTCTTCTACAGAAGTGACATCATTCAGGAAGCAGAGCAGAGTCTGCAAAACCTCCCTGTTTTCATCTGACATCAGCATTATGGCAGCCTGAACTGCCTGAAGCCGCTGCTCTTTGGGAACATCTGAAAAATAAAAGTGACATTTAATAAATCTGTAAACAATGTGCTTGGAACATCAGTGTGACCCAAACCGTAAACTCCGAATTACTTCTGGAAGAGACCCAGACCTTTCAGACACAGAAACATCAGTTTTCCTTACTCTCATCATCACTCTTCACAGTTGTTGAAAAGTTTGATGATGGCATATATGGTGATCCTTAAACATGATTCACTTGGGTTGAATTCAACAATTCAAGATTTATCTTTATACCTTGTGTTTGTTTCTATAGTATAGTGATTATTACATTTACTTAGCATTAAGAGTTCCTAGGATGAAACTGGGTGGAAAGATACTCATGTATATAAGTCAATCTCATGTCTAAGGCAAGGGCAGGTTTGGGGGCCAAAATCATGGATTTTGACATGACCTGTGGATAAGTTGAGGGTCATTCCATAGAGAGGGGACACACCAGTACTGGCTCAGGAAGGCAGCTACTTGTGGTTGCTCCTGCTAACATTATCCTGCCCAAGTATTCATAAAGGTCTTTTGTAGCTCTATTCAGAGAAGGCAATTGTTCCTCTTTAACATTTGTAATGCCCCCCCCCCCATAATGCAGTGGGTTAAACCGCTGAGCTGCTGAACTTGCTGACTGAAAGGCCGCCGCTTCAAATCCAGAGAGTGGGGTGACCTCCCGCTGTTAGGCCCAGCTTTTGCCAACCTAGCAGTTCGAAAACATGCAACTGTGAGTAGATCAATAGGTACCATTTCTGCGGGAAGGTAACAGTGCTCCATTCAGTCATGACCTTGGAGGTGTCTATGGATAATGCTGGCTCTTCGGCTTAGAAATGGAGATGAGCACCACAACCCAGAGTAAGACACGGCTAGACTTAATGTCAGGGGAAACCTTTATCTTTACCTTAACATTTGTAACGATGTAACATTTGATAAATGTTAAGATATAGTATTAACTCTTACCAAAAAAGGAATTACAACCTTCTCTGAGTAGAGTGGCAACAGGCAAGAGCTTAGCCCATCCTCGGAGAACCCCAAATAAACACTGACTTCTCTATTCTCTCAGTAAACCTTTGAAGGGAAGCACCAAAGAACTGCCTCCAACATTTTCCCACGCAGGCATTCAAAAAGGTCAGAAGAGGTGCCATTATGGGGAGAGTAGCAGGGCTCAGTGCTTCTTTTACGTTCTCTTGGGAAAGACTGAGCCCTTCATTTCACCATTCTATTAAGAAAAGAGGATGCTATCTTTTTGGATAAGTTCACCAAGTTATTTGTGTATCATCATAGGCTTTTTGTGTCAATGTTTGATTTAAAAAAATGTGTACATGAGTATTTTGGTACTTTTTAGACAGCCAACATTGTCCAATAATTCAGGTATTAGACTAGCTCTGAAGACAAGAGTTCACATCCATCCTTGGTCATGGAAACCGAGTGGGTGACCTTGGCAAGTAATACTCTTTCAGCCTCAGAGGAAAGCAATGGCAACCCCCAGTTAGCACATCTTGCTAACCAAACCATGGAACATATTGTAATTTTAATTTCATGTTTTTATATTTTCTGTTTTAACATGTACATTGTTATTATAATTGTTCCTGTTTGGCATCTAATGGTTACCGGTTGTGAGGCCGCCCTGAGTCTCCCCCAGAGGTGAGAGAACTCTGAGTTGGCGAACGCTGTGTCTGAGATTGGCTATTGATTGTGTGATATATTGTTGTTTTTAATTGTTTTAATTGTTGACCATTTAATTGCTGGTTTTATATGTTATTGTATTTGTGTAGGCACCAAGATGTGCCTTTTGTAAGCTGCCCTGAGTCCCCCCTTGGGGAAATACACGAAATAAATAATAAAAATAAATAAGGATGGGATATAAATGTATGAAATAAATAAATAATAAATAAATAAGGTTAAATCAGAAATGACTTGAAGATACACAGCAATAAAGATGTAGTACAATCATTAATCCAATGAAAGAGCAAAGTAACAGCTTATAATGCATATCTTATATGTGAATAATACATTATTCTCAACACCATGATCACCACTACCACCACCACCACAATAATACTGTCCCATTGATGCTTACATTTCTTTCTCTCAAGTCAGAAGTAGGGCTTTCATATGTTTGACAATACCCCACTGTGCACGGGGAAGGGATTGTTTTACTATTCAATCTTGCTAATTTACACTATATAAAATTAACTCACAGCCAATATTCCTGGTGGGAATCATATTGATGCTTTATTTATGTATTTATTTTAAACATTTATATTCCGCCCTTCTCACCCTGATGGGGACTCAGGGTGGAGCACAGCATATATATAGCAAACCTTCAATGCTAGAACATATATATAGCAAACCTTCAATGCTAGAACATAAAATAAACTATAAATATACATAAACACTAAAAGCAATTATCTCCACTTTAAAATCAATCTTGGATCAGCCACACCAGATCCGGTCAGCAGGGTAAAGTTTCCTGTTGTTGCCTTATTGCACTGTCCCAAAGGCTTGGTCCCACAGCCAGGTTTTTACCATCTTTCTGAAGGACAGGAGGGAGCGAGTGTATCTAATCTCACCAGGGAAGGAGTTCCATAGCCGAGGAGCAATCACTGAGAAGGCCCTCTCTCTCGTCCCTGCCAGTCACACTTGTGATGGTGGCAGGCCCGAGAGTAGGGCCTCCCCAGAAGATCTTAATCTCTGTGGTGGTTTAGAGAGGGAGATGAGTTCAAACAGGTAAACTGGGCCGGGGCCATTGAGGGCTTTATAGGCCAAAGCCAGCACTTTGAATTGTGCCCTGTAGCGAACTGGAAACCAGTGGAGTTGACGCAACATTGTGTGCTTTCTGTATGCCACCCCACTGATTAACCTGGCTGCCTCTCGTTGCACTATTGGAAGCTTCCAAACAGTCTTCAAAGGCAGCCCCACATAGAACATATGAGTCAATTACACTAGCATAAACAAATTTTAAATGTTGCACGGTAGAAAGAGAACAATAGAGTATGTCACCTCTGCCAACAGAAAATGGCCCTCCCGGGCACCTCAGGCACTGGCACATTAGCTTACGGCTTTCCCTGCCATCCCTAAGTTGTTGCAGTGACTACTATCATTTTACATCCAATTATGTTGCTTCCATCTATATTGATGGGTTAACACGAGTGCAACCCTTCAATTCAAACCGCCCACAATATCCTTACTTATTGCTAGTAGATAAAAGCTTAAAAGCTTGGCACTTACACTGATAGATGTGGAGGAAAGTTTCTCCTAGCTTGCTGGTAAGAAGAGGCTCAGGGAGGTCTCTGAAAAACTGCTTCACCATGTCAGCCACATCATATGCCGACTGATCTTCATAGCTGACATTTTCAGGGTTACTTTCATTCATTTGACGTAGGGCCTGTATTCGAGACTTGACACCCGACTTCCGGAAAAGACCCACCTAAAATATATACTGCAATAAGTTAACTCTATAGCCATTTGTCATGATCACGGGAGAAAAAAAAATCCAAGCATTTTAAAAAAAGAAAAACCCTGACCTATTTCTTTATTACTAGCATATATACTCTGCATGGCCTGGGTGTTGGAGGGACTGCTGTCCGGCTGCTTTCTCCCCTCTCCATCTCATTTTGGAGCTTGCCTGGCCCTCTGAAAAGGCCTCCATCACAATGTCTCCATAGGAATGCTATTCCCCTCTGCGAGGCTCCTAGAGCATATCCCTGGTGATGCTCTAGCACTCTTTCATTTATTAGCTCTCCCTCTGAGTAGAGTTTCCATCTGTATACTGTCCTCTTGTGGTTGCTTCTGAGCATTGCAGAAATATTTCGTTATTGTTTGGGGCCCTGCCCCCAAAAGGAGCTAATTTTATAGTTCAAACCCCTCAATTATTTGAAGTTGGATAATGAAGGGTATGTGTGCCAAGTTTGGTCCAGATCTGTCAATTCATGTAGGAGCCTTTGTGGCACAAACAATCAAGCATTTAGATTTATCACATTTATATTCAATTTTCCATTTATTGAGTTCAAGGAGATGTACATGTTGCGCTTTACCTTTCCAAAAAGGCAAAGAGCAACTTATAGGTAAAGGTAAAGGTTTTCCCCTGACATTAAGTCCAGTCGTGTCCGACTCTGGGGGTTGGTGCTCATTTCAATTTCTAATCCGAAGAGCTGGAGTTGTCAGTAGACACCTCCAAGGTTATGTGGCCAGCATGACTGCATGGAGCGCCGTTACCTTCCCGACAGAGTTGTATCTATTTATCTACTCACATTTCCATGTTTTTGAACTACTAGGTTGGCAGAAGCTGGGGCTGACAGTGGGAGCTCATGCAACTCCCTGGATTTGAACCTGTGACCTTTTGGTCAACAAGTTCAGCAGCTCAGTGCTTTAACCCACTGCACCGGGGCGGGCTCCAGAGCAACATATACACCTCTCTGAACTCAATAAGCGGGAAAGTGGGATATCTACCATATGGAGTAGCTACAACTGAGAAAAAGAGTGACTGTCCTAGCTGGAAAAACTGTGAGTACACTTTAAGTCATATGAAAGTTCCATAAGTTTTGATTAAGCTAGAATTGTTTATTTACAAATGCAGATACACCACAAGTGTTAAACATGCTATGTCTCTTAATTTCTTTGTAAACAAATATCCCATTTCAAGCTCAGAATTTGGCCTAGCAGTGCCTTCAAACACTTTAATATAGGATTTAGTACACATAATTTTCTCTCAACCACTGTGGCAGTTAGCAGCATAAAATATTATTTCTTCAGAAGTAGCATATCAATTGCCAAGAAGTGTCTTAGCTGGAATTGAAGGACATGTTTTTCAGATCGAACTGACACTCTCCCAGCTGCCGTCCCACGTCCCAATTTCCTGTCCATTCTTTCCTGTTGCTTTTAGCAGGGAAAAGGATGTAGTAGAAAGATTAGTTATATGGGGATTCTGCAATATATTTTTATCTTCTGTTTTCTTCTGCAAGGGACTGATAATTCTTCAAACGAGACGTCTAGTATCTTTGCACAGCAGTGTCCTTTTGCAGCCGTTCTCATAAATGGAATCCTCCTGGGGCCAATTCCTGTGCTCAACCCACATTTTTTTATTCCCCAGTGAAGTTGTGTTACACCACTTGGGATCTATTAGGGCTATTTTTTCCTCATTACACAGTGGAAGGGATGATACCATGAAAAGAAAAGTGTGGGCATGTTTCAGTTTCTAATTCCGACTCTTAGTTTTTCTTTGTCTCCCACGCATGCTGCTAGATGCAGATTTGAAGAATACAAAAAAGTTGGTGAGGGGAGAAAAACAGTTTAGAGTAGATCTTCTATTCCTGTTCCCTCTAAACACTCCAATAAGGACTGAGCATTCCCAGTGACCACAGATCTTAAAAACAAATAGGGGAAATATACATAAGTCTGGAATGGTGGGTTGGGCAGAGAACTGAGTAACTTAAATCCTTCATATTAATATGCATCTGTTTCCATGAATCTCATGAAAGGGAAGTACAAAAGTGGTGGTGGGACTGACGTTGGAGCTGTACCTGCACAACTATGCACAACTATGCACTCGTGTGCATACTTCCTTCCTCCACATCTCAGAGCACAGGGGCTTGAAGTTTTCCAGCCACACCAATGTTGAAACAAACCAATATAAATTGGGAAGAAGGAATACTGGGATGCCTCTTCCTATGAGGTGCCTTTTCCATTTAAAATGTACTCCTGACAGATTGTTAAAGAGTGGTTTGCATGGTGCTGGAAAACTGATAAAGAAGAGAGTGTTTGGGGATTTATTTAATAAACTTTAAAAAACCACTTTAAAATAATGTTCAACAAACATAATTGAAATAAATAAATTGGATGCCAGGCTTTCTACTTCTGGTGTGTCAGAGTTTAATCTATTTTGGGGGGAGGGAGGGGGCAATTGAGATAAGAGAACCACTATGGATGTGAGTGCTGGACCATAAGGAAGCATGAGTAAAGGAAGATAGATGCTTTTGTATTGTGGTGCTGGAGGAAAGTTCTGAGAGTGCCTTGGACCAAGAGAAGATCCAACCAGTCCATACTTCAGGAAATAAAGTCCGACTGCTCATTGGAGAGAAGGATATTGGAGGCAAAGATGAAGTATTTTGGCCACATCATGAGAAGACAGGAAAAGAGATTAAGATATGGTCTTAAAGTGAACCTAAACACTCGGAATAAATACCGAGAACTGGAAATGCCTGGCCCTAAAATGTTCTAACTGGAGGTCAGCTGTTATCAACAATACTACGGATTTTGAAGAAGCCTTGAAGAGAAGATGAAAGGGAAAAACGTTCCACGAGAAAGATGAATCAAACAAACCCCTATGAGGATCACCTTCCATCTGGAAACTGATGTCCTTATTGTGACAGACCATGCAGATCCAGAATAGGCCTCTACAGTCACCTATAGACCCACCACCAAGGCTCTACTTCTGGAAGACATTCATACTCAGCCACAAGTGAAAATCTATGATGTATGAGTTATGGTTGTACTATATCATGCTATGCTACTATGCTGTGCTGTGACATACAGTATTCCAACCTTCATATTTTTTAGTATACCAAAAAAAGAATGCCTTTTGCCTGCAACACATGCCCTCATTGCCTGAAGACAAGCTTTTATTTAGCTGGCACAGAACTGGAAATAATGCTCTTAACTCCAGAGTCTCTTTATAGACACACATTATCTCATGCTGATGTACAATATCACTTTTAACTGTCTCTTTCAAACAAGCACCCTGGAGCATTTATAGAAACTGTCTGCGATGTGGCATCAGAGTGGTGCCTCTCTACTTGGGGAATAACAGTAAGCAACACTTTTCCGGGCTATAGCCATTACTTGTACATTGGTTATTTTCTCAGCATTCTTTCTCTTTCTTTAAATGTGTCCTGCTTCCCTCCCTCCACCCCCACCCCAATTATTAGCACAAATTTGCTTTATAACTGTACTCTGTGGGCTGGACCAAAGGTCACAGCAAGACACAGCACTCAGTTAATATTAGAAAAAAGTCTTTCTTTGCATATCCAATCTGCTGCACACCTCTTCACTTGAAAAAGTAGTGAGGGATCAGATTTTTTTGAAAATGGAAGATTTTGTATCACATCCAATCTTGATCCTGCAAGTCTACTACAACTGGGTATTCCTGTCTGCCCTTTCCCTTCCTTGACAGTGGTACATGCAGCCTCAGGATATGCTCCCAAATACAGAGCAATAATTAAGCGCTTGGATATTTGATTGCAATAATTACTCTGTGAAATTTGATCAGGTCAGGGGTGTGAACTGAATCAATGTTATTGATGCAGCTGATTTTCTGCTTAGATTAGAACATTAAAGTCCACAATGACCATAATTTTCTTGTGTATTTTCACTGCTTTTCAAAATTCTTAAAAGTCAGAGAATCTGCATCCATAAATGTAAGTCCAGTGCCAGCTGGTGGCTAAAATGTCAATGAATCCTAATGTTTGATTTTAAATGGTGCTATCCAGGGTGCTGAATCCTTTATCCAAACCAGGCTCAGGACTTTGGATAGACCCCTTAAAGTTTGAGCTAAAACCTCAGGCAGATTCACTATCCCACTGACATTGAAGCCACCTTTTTAGATTTTTCTAAATTTTTGGATTTGATCGTTCTCAATTAAAGCACTCCCTCTGACAAGATGTGGCAATTTACTTTTATCTCACTCTGTCCAGAAAGTCCTACATAAATAATAAATAGCAGCTATAGGAAGAGAATTAACAAATAGCACATTTTCCTGTCTAGTTATTCCAACTTGCATAACAGTGTTGCACAACAACATTCTTCTGCTGCATTGTGGTTGGCAAAATGGAATGCTTCCCAGATTGTTTGTTATAGTTTATGGGCTGCGGCTATGCAAGTCACTACAAAACAGAAGCAAAAACAAAATGATAAAGCCCAGAGCCATAAAAACCCATCATTAAGAAGTTTAGCTAAAAAATGAAGCTGTCACAAGAATGTTGTATACTCTTAGCTTCAAGAAATGAAGAACTTACCTGATCCAGGCAATTGTTCCGTAAATAGCGCAGTGCTTGCTGTATGCCCTGTGGCAGAGGTTGCCCTGTTCTTTGCACATGGATTATTAAAGGCACACCAAAGATGTTCTTATCCTTGTAATCGGGAACTTTCATCCTCTTCATGAACTTTGGTACAGCCCTGAAAAGTTAACAACAAGAATAACCATAACAACAATAACTGTGTCTATATCTGAATAATGCAAATGCTCTTCTTTGTTTTGTTTATGGTCAAATTAAAAGGTACATCAGGCAAGTGCAAGTTTATTCGATGCTTAGACCATAGGTCTTTCACATACAAGGCAAGGCAAATAAATAAATACATGAACACCAGATTATCAAATACAATATAAGATACACAATAAAATCCTATAAATAATTAAAATGCTACATATATCGATGGCAAGATGCACCTTTAAAATGTGTAGACTCATACCTGCGTAATTAAAAACCAAGTAAAAGCAAATAGATACAGCATTATTAAAACTACATAAACAGCCACTATTAGTTGAAATACATCAGGCATATGAAGTGCACTTCACATCTACTTTGTGTTGTCTTTTAAACAGCAGCCACATGGAGATCAGGGTTGAAATCAGGGCTGCACTCACACTTTGTGAGTATGTAGTTAACTTCCTCCTACCCTACAATTTTGGTTCCTACATGTGCTTACTATGCTATCTAAACCCAGCATAGTATTGACAATATGTTGAGCTCATGTTCTGCTTGTTTGACTTCCTATGAGCCTTTGTACTGACCCAGGAGGTTGTCCTTAGGTTATTATGACAAGAGCTGTCATTGCTGCTAGGGTAACATTCTCTCTGGGCACCATAATATATGTCAAATCCTATTGATAGTCCTAATGAAAGTAAGACCACTGAATCAATTATAGCTTCAATCAATGATAATTTTCACAAATTCCATTGGTTCAACAATAATATTCAGAACTTAAATCCCTCTCACCATGGTTTCAGTTCCAGTCATCTAATACCTGAAATTGCTGTATATTTTCAAAAATGGGAACATGAAATGGATCCATACATTTGTTATGTAGTTTTATTATTTTTGGAATTTTAGATGTTCTATATATCATTGAGATTGGATCAATGTGAAATACAGCCTATGAGCCACGTGCAATGCCAGTAACTTTTTTTGCAGTCCCCTTTCTTCCCAAAGATTCATTTGTGCCAAACCCTTCAAACAAATAAGGATCCTTCCATCCCAGTACTGGTGGTGTCAAGGGGAGCAATTTCTGATTGGGATAGGGCTACTCATCCACTTGTACAAGAAAGAAAGGAAGGAAGGAAGGAAGGAAGGAAGGAAGGAAGGAAGGAAGGAAGGAAGGAAGGAAGGAAGGAAGGAAAGAAGGAAGGGCCATTTTGATTTATGGTCCATGATAGATGCTGGGAGTAAAAATTTGGTCCTCAATCCAGCTCTAGTCTCCAACCCAGCTCCAGTTTAGTGCATTCACAATCTCTGGGTCATGACTATATATGTGTCCCACTAAATGGGATACAGTGCACATATTACGCCTTCTTTATTTCTGCGCTGCTGGGAAGGCAGCAAAACCAGGTGGTTATATTACATTAATAACAGCTCATCCTAAATGGCTCATGGGCTGCATTTGGCAAAAGGACCAAAGGCAGATTTGGAAGGATTAAACAGAAAGAGAGCTTTAGGTTTGATAAAGGAGTAGCAAAGGGCAAGCTGAATAAAAAGTTTAATTTATAACAAATAGTTTTCCTTTGTAAAGCTGGCCCTTACAAACTGCATAATTATGGTGCTACGATTCCATATGGACTGCCATGGCAACATCCTATGGAATCCTGACGTTTGCACTTTGGGAAGGGGTACTTTGTATTCTCTGTCAGAAAACTGCAGCACTTTGCCAAACTGCAAACCCCAGGATTCCATAGCTTGTTGCCATGGCAATGAAACCTTAAACACAATCCTATAAATGTGTGGTGTGAAAGGACCCAGGGATACAGAGCAGCTTTCCATTTCACACACATTATGCTCTCTCACTAATACAGTGCCACAAGCAATCAAAGATATTTGTTGCACAAGGGTGCATCCTCCATAACATACCCTTTTGTCAGCTCAGTCCAACCTACTTCCTTAGCAAATACTTTCCAATTTGAAGTGCAATAAATAATGGCAGAAGATTAAACTTGAAAGCATTCAGTTAGTTTTCTCAGTGTGGTTTATTATGTCTGTAATCTCACATTGCATGGTTTATCATTACCATTCGTTTATAGAATTACAGGAAAATAACAGTAGATGCCAAATTCACCTGAGGTGAAGCTCAAGGAATGTATTATGGATACATTCTTGGTTCTGCTCTGATTCAGTAATTTTAATTTATTTAGTAAAGAATTGGAGGCAAAGGGGAGGGGGTCAGCAGGCACCTCTCTGTCAAAAGTATAATAAAAACAGAAGTGAAGTTTTTTTTTCTTTGAGAAAAAAATGACAATTATTATCTAAATAAATTGTGTTGCCAGAACAGATGTGGAGTGAGAGTCTTAATAGGTTCAGGACAATAATTCCTGCTTGCTTTGAAAAGAAACTATACTTTAATACAGAGGTTGAAAGTAATTTGTTAAAAATGAATTCCTTATGCATCATTCATTTATTTTAAAGCATTTTTAACCTGTTGGGTTTCATCCCTGGACTGCACAATTTTCTTGTGTCATCAGGTTTCCAGTCCTCAATGGGTAGCTAGGCTAGAGACAGGGCTAAATTGAGGGATTCCTTTCCCCACATTTCCATGCATGTTTCCCAAAAAAGGCTTTGCCTTTACTTTTCCTGCTAGCCACTGTCTCCTCCCCCTTTGATGATGTAGCAATGGAATTCTGCGAGGGAACTTCCTTTTTAAGTTGAAACTTCCCTAGGTTGACCATGTGGTCTCCACCATTTCTTCAGTGGCTTCTGCCTTTTCTTACTTCCAGAAAGGATGCATTTTGTCTTTCTCTAGGCAAAATGTAGCTGCATGGACCTTTTTCATTTCACCTCCTTTAGAAGACTTAGTAAGCTAGTTAGCTCCAAGACCTTTTCTATCAGGAAATTATTTCTTTTACTTCAATAAATATTTTTGAACCTAAAGTTCTGACTTCTAATCCTTTTTGTTGCTATTTGTTTAGTTGTTTCCGATTCTTCGTGTCCTCATGGACCAGCCTACGCCAGAGCTCCCTGTTGGCTGCGGTCACCCCCAGATCCTTCAAAGCCAAGCCAGTCACTTCAAGGATAACATGCATCCATCTTGCCCTTGGTTGGCCCTCTTCCTTTTTCCTTCCATGTTCCCCAGCGTCATTGTCTTCTCCAAACTTTCCTATCTTCTCATTCTTCATCTTTGCCTCTAATATCCTTCTCTCCAGTGAGAAGTCAGGTTTTATTTCCTGGAATATGGAGTGGTTTTATCTTCTTGTGGTCCAAGACACTCCCAGAATTTTCCTCCAACACCACAGTTCAAAAACATCTATTTTCCTTCACTCAGCCTTCCTTATGGTCCAGCTCTCACATTCATAGGTTGCTATGGGGAATACCATTGCTTTAACTACGTGGATCTTCCTAAGCCATCCTAAGGAATAGATGCCTATCCCAGCTCACCACACATAACTTTTTGTTGGTTATGAAGTTTACTTCTGGTACTCTGCTATATTTATGGTGGAGTCACCCCAACCGAGGGTTAATTTTGAGTCTAACAGCTCAGATTCCCCAACATAACCACTGTAACCTAAACCTACTTTCTGGTCATAAAAGCAGAACAGTTGAATAAGTGGAACTTAAAATGATTGTTAACTTACTAAGTGCTTACTTGCCTCCAAAATAAGGGGAAAAAAAAACAATGTTAATGTGATGAAAAATATTAGCAATTAACATCAATATGGTAAGTTAGCTTTAAAACTAATACTTCCCAGCTCTGGTTCAGTAGGAGAGCAGATTCTTAACATGCAGAAGATCCCAAACCTATTCTTTCTCTCATTTCCAGTTTGGAAATGGAGATGGAAAAGATCTCTAGCCGAGTGTCTGGAATGTATATTAGCAGTAGCTTTCCACCACAACATTTATTGGGACATTTCATTTGTTGGGTTTCTCAAACAGACCAGCTTGGACAGTGAGAATGCTGGGTAATGGAGAGTGTAGTATATCAGTAATCCTCAATATCTTTGACCAACATTAGGTATAGATCAAGAAGATTGAAACTGGAGAAGGTGGTGGTCTTGTGAGGGAGAAGGAATCTCTCTGGATGACAGCAACAGCCACCAGTCAGCCTTCCTAGCTAATTGGTGTTACAGGTAATACTCAGGTAACTAGTACGAGGTTAACCTCCACATTATCCTCCATTGTACACTTCTTTATTTTCCTCCATTCTCATCCTTTTTTATTTAGCTAGATGGGTTGCTCTCTTTGTACGCAGTACAGTGCATTTGTTCCAAGTGCAATATCTAACCCAGCTCTCTAGTCATTACAAAGCCATTGCATTTATTCAAAGAAGGTTTGCTTAAAATTTTGCCTGCATTTCTTCCACTTTATTTGTGTAATTATTACTTTTATTACTACTGCAGGCAGAGTATCCCTTGGTGGTGTTGTAGTCAGACTTCCTGAATTACACTTCCTGCTGTGTGACTGTTACAGCTTTGCTTTGATTGCCTTTGGCTGTGGAATGAGGGTAATAATCCTTAAGACTCTCACATGGGCTACTTAGATGTAAGCTAATGCCATAAAGTACTTAGCAGAGTGCGTAATGTTATAACTGATACCAAGGATGAATTCTGTGTATTCTGAAACCCTGCCTGTGTTGTATAATCCAAAACAACATGATTTGAAAATTGAAAACCCAAAATTCCATGACCAAACTGTTTAATAATGTGACCATATCTCTTGAAGCATAAAACAGCATGATCCCAGTATCTGCAGGAGTAGTACCCACTATTTCACTTTTCATATAAAAATGTTTTCACTGGCCTTTCCTAGGTTTTCCAGAATGACCCTATGATAGGCTTCTGCTGCACATTGTTTATTTCAATAGTGATCACTATGGAAGTTCAGGAACATTCTTGAGCCATACTGTACATATAGAGAATAATGTGCTATAAATAATGACACTACCCTGAATACATAATTTTTAGATAATAAGGAGTAGGAGCCCCCGGTGGTGCAATGGGTTAAACCCTTGTGCTGGCAGGACTGAAGCCTGACAGGTTGGAGGTTCAAATCTGGGGAGAGTGCAGATGAGCTCCCTCTGTCAGCTCCAGCTCCCCATGCAGGGACATGAGAGAAGCCTCCCACAAGGATGGTAAAACGTCAAAACATCTGGTGTCCCTGGGTAACGTCCTTGCAGACAGCCAATTCTCTTACACCAGAAGCAACTGACAGTTTCTCAAGTCACTCCTGACATGAAAAAAGGTAATAAGGGAACAATGTTTTTTCAAAAATAGATATGAGTGATACTATGTTTTCTTAAAAAACCCAAACAATAATTGTTAAAATATTGCTTTCATAGGTAATTTTTTGTTAGAGGGTTAAAAACATGTTGCAGAATGGTTTCAAATACACTCTGCTTGCGGTAGATACCATTTCCACCACAGTTGGAGACCTCCTGGACCCCTAAAGATAAATAAGTGCATTTTTTTGTCCATTAAGAGGAACAGATGCATTTCCATTTTGATATGCACCACTTGAACCAATGCAAGCCCAGGGAAAGCTTTTGTGAATATGATGAAAATATCCCTATTTCTCCTAGAGGTGTTTGGGTCATTTTATTTGTGGGAGTCGATGTATTCCTCCAAAGTCTCCTGGAGGCTAACATGGCCCCTATAGCAGCATTTGAGCTGTAAAGCTCTTTCACAAAGGACATTCAGCCTGCTTTATTCCTTTTTTAGCTTCTATGGGTAACCCAAACTGTGTGGTCCTTGGGTCCTAAAACCTAGATTGGTCTTTGCATTACTGTAACTGCATATGTGTTTTCAAAACTGTTTTTGTTTTGTTAAAACTATTTTGCCTATTTAATGCATTGTACACCACCTCTGGAGCCTGTGCTTGATAGGAGATGACGAACAATAAATAAAGAAAATAATCTATACACATAATAAAAGTGAACATATGTATGTGTGTATGTGGTGGAAGTATCCACTTACACAGACAGCCTCTCACCTCCACAAACAGCTTTAACCCCCCAGTGCTAAAGAACCATCAAAAGCACTTCCTCCAAGGACATTTCAGGTTATAGTGGGCTCTATGAACATGTCTCCCAACCCTGCCAATGTCCTCCCCAAACACTATACTGCCTACCACCCAAGAGAAGCTTTCGTTTGGGGACAATTTCACCCTAGATGTTCTATTTTTCCTTTAAAATGGACATCCCAGGGTTCCTTTCTCTCTCAATGGGTGTGGAATTTGCAAGACCTCGCCACTGCCTGTCCCTTAACCCTTTTCTTCCCTTTCCTATGGCACACAGCAAATACAGGAATCGATCAGCAACTGAACAAGAGGTTTCGGGAGAATTCACCATGATTTATAAGAGTGGTAGTTCATCTACATCCAGAGAGCACTGTGAACCCAACCAACTATGTATCTGGACCAAATTTGCCATGGATGATGGGGTTTGCAATACTTCACTCAGTTCCAGAGATCACTGGAACCCCCACGAATGACGGACCTTGGAACACAGACCCAATATGGCCAACTGTGCATACATGTGGGGGTTGGGGATGATTGCCCTTGGCATATGGGAGTTGTAGTTCATTTGCATCAAGAGAGCACTGAACACAACTGAGGTTAGATCTGAACCAAACTTGGCACACAGACTCAACATGGTGAACTGTGCATACAGCCAAGGTTTGGGGGTATAGGCCCGTGATTTTTGGAATTGCAATTCACCCACATCCATATGCATTTTTAATGGGAACATTCATTAAAAAACACCAGGAAATACTGGTTGTTTTCTAAGAAATAGAGCTACAAAATACCAATGTGATATTACCTAACACCCTAAAACAAATGATGCCTTTTCCTAAAAACCTGGGCACTGCCATGTTCCCAAGCTAGTAAATAATAAAAATGAATAATACATTATATTTTTAAAATGTTCTGGCTCCAATGTAGGCAGTTGAAAACCAGTTTTGATTGCTAGCTCCTATTGATTCAATGGGATTACATTAGCATTGATTTATTATTCAATAATTGGTTCAAATGATCTACCCTAGTTTGGACTAGGAATTGGATTTAACCCTCCACTTCCACACAACAAAGAAGATGATGATGCAAAAGAGAAGTTCTATGTGGAAGAAGACAATGACACCATTAACAGCAAGAAAAGATTCCTAATCTGTACTGCAGAGAATCAATTTTGGATTCCACAAACACCGGCTGCTCAAGATGTTTTCAGCTGGATAACAGACTTGTATGGTTTCATAGTACTCTCATCAACTACTTTGTTCATGTTCCAAGGAGATTCATCTTCAGGCATAGACATCTCCACAATAAGATTTTAGTTCAACCTTTTGTTGTTCCTGATTTCTTTTTACCTAATGTTCTATGCTCCCCTCACATCCCACACATTTTCTAACCGTATTGGAAGGCAGACACAACCACTTCATTATCCTTGCAAAAACCTAAGTAGTTCCAATAGCAAAATTCAATTAAATATGTAGTATATTTTAGAATACAAAAATTGGATCTCTGCAAATTAGTATACTATTCTGTATAAAACTTGCAACTAGAAATATGTGAGAAATTTTTGTCAGACAAGATGAAGTCTTGAAGAGAATATACTTGATTTAAAGTAATTTCAATTGCCTGAAGGATATATTTTGAGTGAACAAATACATGGATACATGAATATTCACAAACTGTTGTGACATAGCAATTCTTCATCATGGTTTCCTGAATGACGGCTGTATTATAGTCTCTCTTTTTAAAATCTCCATGCCAATTTTCATGCTGATAGAATAAGTTGTCTTGCCTTTACAATGAACAGAGTGTTCGTGTTTTATAACTTTAGATCGAGAGTGCTAAATATGAAGATGTTTTAGCTTCTGCAGTACTCACCATGTCCAGCCATGCTTGTTTGACATGGAATACTTTTCCATGATGGCAGTAAGACGAAGCAGGGAAAATTTTTGTAGTAGATTTAACTGAGCAGCTGACTGACTACTGATTTGGTGTGATCCTATGGGATGGCACATTTGATGAGACCTCTGGAAACTATGCCAACGTAATCGCCTTTAGATAAACAAAATAAAATACAGTCAAAGAAGAAGCCCAATGATGGTGACAGGTTTGATGTTTATAAAGCATCTCAACAAGTTGACAAGGTTTCTTTTTTCTGCTTCTCATACCATCATAAACCCATAAGGATTCCACAAAGTGCTGCCAATGTTTCAGTAACATAATAGGTATTTATGCAAGATGTCTACATATCTGAGGAATGTTGCAACTATTCCTCAGACATGCAGACATCTAATACTCCATAACATTCATGCCCTAGTAATTCCTATTCACTTTCAGGGCAACTATGCATGCCTAAGAAATTGTGTAATTGTTCTCAGGATGTACAATGCACAATCCTGCTTTACTATAACACAAATTCTTCTTGCAGATGGTGGAAGGTCTATTACTTCTAAAATAACCCTTCAAATACTTTGTGAAAATGAAACACTTTATATTCAAGGAAGTTTATTTCTAGTAAAATGCTGCCTACTCAGAGCTAAATCTCCCAGTTTACCAGGTATTACGCTCCAAATAATTGTACTTCCAAGCTATGTGCCTATGCTACTGTTAACACTATTACTTCCACACACACACACAAGTAGGGAAGTTTTAAATGGAATATTCTTTGGCAATATTGAACAATTAAGAATTAATTCTTAAACTGGGAATTAATACCAATGTTAAATTACCATGTGCCTCAGGGAATTCTGTAAGGTAACAATTCCCTTCTAAATCAATATACAGGTCGAGCATCCCTTACTTAGAATCCCAAGATCCAGAATAGTGGGCTGGCTGAGATTGCGAAATATTTGGTTTCCTGTGGTTCAGTGTACACAAACTTTATTTTATGTACGAAAGTATTATAAATATTGTGTATTAGGCTATATGTATATATATAAAGTGTATATGAAACATAAATTAATTTCATGGTTAGACTTGTGTCTGAAAAAAAAATTGAAAACATGAAGCACTTCTGCTCCCAAACATTTTGGATGAGAGATATTCAGTCTTTGCAAGAGAGGCACAAACCTACATATTTCTATTGCACATGGATTGTAAAATAATAGGAATGCTACAAACCTGTTTGGCCTGGTAAGGGATGCTCCAACACCAGAGTCTCTTCTGTCCCTGACACCAGGAACTTCTGACTCGTTGAGAGATGTTCCATCTCTATCCATATCACTAGGCGTTGTCCGGCCCTCACTTACAGAGTTCTGTTCAAAATCTAATGAAATCTTAGCTGGTGACTGGAATGACGAAGAGCTACAATCACCAACCGATAAAACATTGTTTTTCAATTCTGGTAATATATTTTTCGACCAATCATCTACAGATTCTTGAAGCCCATTGACCTGCTGCAAAATGTCATCCAGATGAGGAAAAAAGTTTTCTCGTTCCAAGTCTAGAAGGTCTCCAGTACTGGCATACAAGTGAGAACCTGGAACATTGTCATAAATGCTAATACGACTCTCCTTTGGGCAGGAAGCAAGAGGACTGGCTTCTTTGGGTGTTGAACCTGTCTTGTTGTTTAATGAAACGCCACCTGTCCTCCAGCTTACACCATTGCTATTGTCTGTAGGAGATAGGCTTTCAATTGATAGAGCCTTAGGAAACGTTCCGGGTTTGTGATCTTTAGGAATATGAACCACTAGGTTCTCTTGGGAATGAAATTCATTTCTATGGTTTTGATCCATCACTTGCCGGAGTGCTGCTCCTGCAAGAACATCCAGATCCTCCAGGTACATCCCACCTCGTTTATTTGCTTCATGATACTTGCGCTCCTTTAAGGAAGGAGTGCTTATGCCGCTACTGCTCATTTCTGATTGGCTGCTCTCACTGCTAGATTTAGCAGAGCAAGGAGATCCTTGTTTGGCTGTGTCTTGGGTCCCTACATTTTGGAGGTCTCCATCCCTTATCTGCAAACATTGCAAATTTGGCTCATGCTGAAGAATAGGTCTACTTATTATTAAGCCACTAGTCCTCCCGGTGCCTTTTAATTTTCCATGGGCACTCTTGTTTTTAAGTGTCTCCATACGCTTTAGAAAAGTTTTAGCTTTGGTTCGCATTGGTTTCTCATTCCTGAGGTTTGAAGAGTCATCTGAAAGCTGGGAAGGAGTATTGCCAGCTGAGCAAGAGTCGTGAGCATTTTCTACACAGTATTGTCCTGATCCATCCAATGTCTCCCTGAGAAAGCTACTGACTACAGATTGACTCCGGTGGTCACTTCCACCACTGCTCTCACTGTGAATAGATGATACCTCAGGTTCACTCAGATCGGTAAGCACGCTTTCACTGCTAGTGGTGATCTTCATTTTAGTGTCTCCCGAGGAGCCATGTTTGCCTGACTGATGAATTAAGGTGTCAATGTCTTCTACCCGAGACCATCTTCGGCTTGTCCTTTGGAAAGTCCATTTGTTACTAATGGCACAAAGATCTTCTTCATCAGAGTCTTCACTCTGAAAAAAACATGATATAGACTTATATAACTCTGGAGAAATAAATGGAATGTGCATTCTTTCCTAGTGATACAGTTAAAAGTTAAACACCCAGGTTAGTCATATTCGTATTTCAATACTATAGAGAAATACAGCTTTTCTTTCCTCACTTAAGAATTCCAATGCAGACTCCATAGTGCAGAAATAATAGCGATGATTCACCACAAAGTCAATATCGTTCAACATTAGTTCATTCAAATAGACTCATGTACAATGTATTCTCTTTTGCCTGGATGGTTCACAAGACAAAGGCTCACGGGCAGTTACTAAATAAGCACTGGGGAAAATAAAATATAACGGATGAAACCACCATTATGTATCGTAGTAAAAATGTTAACCTAATGACACTATCACATGAGGTCAAGTTACATAATGTTTCCACATGTACATTAGTAGGAATTTAATAGAATGTTCCAGTTAGTTCTAACTCTAAAAATTAGAAAAGCCAAATGTTGCTTGGAAACTTATGACAACATGACATTAGCCAAAAGAATACACAAACTGGATGTCATACATGTACGTGGTAATCCTAATCCAGATGTAATTGTAGACAACTCACAGAGCTCCAATACACTCCAATAGGTGAATAAGAAGACTCCAAAGCTAACTCAAATGGGTCAAACTGTGAGATGTGATGTTACTTATTGCTTTCATTGCCTTTGTCTCCAATACAAACAATATTTTTGCTAATCAGAAGAAGTTTTACGCTTTAAAAGTCTTTCCTGATTTTAAATGCCTATTCAAAAGGAAATTTCTGAAATAACTAGTTTAAATGCTGCCCTTTTGGAGATTATCTGTGGGATGTTTGTGATAACAATTGTATTGGTGAAAGGGGTTTGCCCAATGCCTTTGCCCAGTCATAATTCCAGATACATTTCTTGTCTCTTTTTGTTTCTCTGCAATGCTCCTAAAATGTTTTAGTCTTTTAAAAATACTTTAAAAAGTAGAGAACGGATATCCAGAGTCATCTACATCTTCCCTCAATCCACTTCTGCAATTCCCTTTGCTTGAGGTTCCAAACCAAAGCCTTGATTGCTCGGCTTAGTGATGGAGAAGCCAAGATCTCCAAACCAGTCTTCTTGGGAGCAGGACAAATAGAAGGGGAAATCTTCTCTAAAACACAGAATAAACTAGACTTTCTTTTGTTAAAGCTGTGAATCACTTTAGTCATTTAGTTTTAAATAATAATTTAAAATTGTCCAGTTGGCATTGTGAGGTAACAAAATGTGATAGGAAGTGCATTGGTGGACAAAATGTGGAGAGGACAAGGTGATCAGACACATGGTCACAACCCATGCCATAATGTTTCATAAAATTCAGATAGCATCAAAAACCATCAAAAAGCAATATTAAACATTGTAACAAACCAGCACATATCACCAGTCTTGGTGAACTCTCAAAGATAATTTTCTATGCTTAGCTAGTTATTGCTGATTAAAAGAAAAGTAAAAGGTGACTTGAAAACATAGTTCTTTTGGGTGTATGTGAATGCCAGGAAAATGTATAAATGTGGTTCCATTTTAATGGGCTTCTCCACAATTTTTCTCACTAAGGCTATGACCCCACAGGTGCAGAAGAGACTTGCTCCAATTGCAGCTGTATCTAGCAGAATAGTTTATGGACATTCCCCCCCCCCCCCACAAATTAATATATGGCAGGAATGGGACTCGTGGGACCCTCCAGATGTTGTTGGACTGCAAGTTGCAGAGCCATAACCAACATAGCTAATGGTGATGAATGCTTGGGTTTGCAGTCTAGCAAGATCTGGAATTTTATTTGAGAGTTCTAGGTGAAGATCCTCACATTCTTTGCCAAGGAGAGACTGTCTGGAGCTTGTCTGGAGTTAACAATTTGATTATGTAGAAGAAAAGATAAACCTTGCCACTGATGTCACATTAACCACCTTCTCTCCCAAAATGTCTTCTTAAATCGGAACTTTCATTCTTTAGAAAGCTTATTTAGCAGATGTTTTGCTAAGGCAGTGTTTCTCAACCTGTGGGTTCCCAGATGTTTTGGCCTTCAACTCTCAGAAATCCTAAAAGCTAGTAAACTAGCTGGAATTTCTGGGAGTTGTAGGCCAAAACACATGGGGACCCACAGGTTGAGAATCACAGCTCTACGGTATTGAAAAATATTCATCATATTGTGTTCTAACCAAAATTAGAGAGCTTAAAGTTCTAGGCCTTATCAAGAACACATAGTCAAATGAGGCAGAGTTCAGTGTTGCACGCAGAACATTTTAGATTCTGGTTTTAAATGTTTTATTCTAGACACTACAATGTATATATATGACATTTGCTTCCATTAAAATTTGGTTAATTATCCTTATTGTACCAGGTGGCCCTTCTGCTTTGTCTTTAATTTAATCTTCTATTAAAGGTAAATACAGAATTTCAACACCTCATCCAAGTGTAGTATTTGTGAGTATAGAGTTATGTATTATATGCCATTATGGTTATGACTGGGCATAAGATTGTGTATGTATCTATGTGCTGATTTCAAATAAAAACAAAACGGAAAGAAATAAAACCATTCAGAAAATGTCTGTAGTTTATCCCAAGGTGGTGACAGAGGAAACCAGATTATCAAAGCAGATAATCCACATTATCTGCTTTGAAATGGATATGAGTCTACACTGCCATATAATCCAGTTCAAATCAGATAATCTGGATTTTATATGACAGTGTAGAAGGGGCCCTCAGAGAGTAGGTCTTTTAAGAAGTAGATAGCATCATCATGTGGATTTCAAATCACAAGAATAAAATTTTAATACAAATGTCAAAGTTTTTTCCCCCAAAATACCAAATCGTGTTGTAATACTTCTAGCCAGAAAGAGTAACCACTGAACACATTTCATATGCCAGAAGAGAACATTTCAGTAAAACATGACAGCATTCTATTGGAGTAGAAAATGTCTTTCTAAAAGGCGCAATGGCATCAAATATACCTGAAATGCCAATTGTTGGAGCCAACGTATTTTTCCTTCTAAAGAAAATTTAGATGTTGATGCTTGAGAGCTTTTCTACTGTTAAATGGGAACAGGACATCTAACTCTTTGTTCCACTCAATTTTAACTTTATTTACATCAAATGTAATGCTTTCAATACAAACCTAATATCTTGTCAGTTTTCCTGAGGATATAATTAATGCTTTCAACACAGCAGGGTTTGCTGAGAGGCTCAGAGCTAATGGTCCATTCACAGACCTTCCCAACACGTTGCAATTGTAAATATTGCCACACTGATATAATAACTGATAAGCAGACTGCAATATTGAGAATGGCAGAAAATCTTGGTCTGCATCTATCAACTGATAAAAAGCACAAATCCCAGAGCCAGCCAATTTCAATCCTGTAGAAGTACTATATATACTTGATTACAAGCCTAGTTTTTCAGCCCCTTTTTAGGCTGAAAAAGCCCCCCTTGGCTTATATTTGGGTGAGGGTCCTGGTGGGATGGCATGGGGCTGAACTCTTCTTTCAGCCCCACACCTTCCTGCCAGGACCCTCACCTCTCCGTACAGCAACCCAGCTTTCCATCCTCTTTTAGTGCAGCGCACACCTTCCTCTTCTCCTATCTCAGCATCAGTCTTTCCCACTTTTTCTTATTCATAGACACACAGCATTTCCCCCAAAATGTATAGTCAAAATACACTATGGTGACTATTGGTAGGATACATTGCACATTTACACTTAATGTTAGAATAATGATTTAATCTGAGTTGGACAGTCTTATCTTAAATTGCGGTTTTATGTAAATATTCAAAAACATTTGACCTACTAATGCCTCAATTGATGTAATTTTATTGCTATCTATTTTTATTTTGAAACTTACCAGAATCTGCTGCATTTCCCACCCTCGGTTTATACTTGAATCAATACGTTTTTCCAGTTTTGTGTGGTAAAATTAGGTGCCTCAGCTTATATTTGGGTGGGCTTATACTCGAGTATATAAGGTAGTTTAACATGACCATAAAGATCAAATTGTAGTTGACAAGACATAATATGGCAGCCCATTGTAGCAGCAGAAATTTCAGAATCATCATTTCTATCTTTCACAAATGAAGAGCACCTAAGGCAGCCCATCCGAAACAAACAAAAATAGTTATAAGTATCTCAAACTAAGTTTGCCCGAGGAGGAGTATCTGAATTGATACTTGCAAATTATTTGATGAGTCAGGAGATATGTCTTATGACACAAACTCAAATGTGGAACATCACTGTATGAAACAGAATTCCTTCATTATATGTAAGTACCTCCAGCCACTTAGGAGAGCAGCTCTGAGATATTAATCATATCACTACTTGAGATGAGGGGGGGGGGAGGGAAGGGGTATGCCCTCCCCAAAGAAAATTGAGCCAGGATTAACCACTTATAAAGAAAGCATGTGGGATGTTCACATGAGAAGATGCCATTTTTCCTACCCAGTTGGCTATGGTTTCTGTAGACCCAGTGAAAATAAATAAGTTACAGAGAAGGAACCAGATACACACATTTTTTTCTAAGAGCGATGGTTTGCACTATATGTTTATACTGATTAGAAAGTGCCCTTGGGACAGGCGTTCCTTGTAAATAAAATGTTGTTGGCGCTGTTACAAAATGTTCCATATCAAATGACATTTTCTGCATTCCTTCCTAAAAACCCTTAAGCCTACAACAATGCCTGTGTTACACAAGGAGGCTGTAAACATGACAAGCTTCATTTTCGTAAGTCAGCAGATACAAATGAAAAATACTTTGGTTTTGTTTTTCTTTGCTAGCAGGGAAACATGCCCTATAGCCACACAGAAATAGACAATATTGTAAGACAAGGTACTTAAGAGTAATGCCAGGCAATATGTAAGCCTTTGCCATTCAAAACGTCTTCTGGGAATGGTTGTCTTAATATTGAGTCTCTCTGTGATCTGTATTTATGCAACAGCATTCAAACATCTGACATTTTTTATTGGGCTAAAGGTGAATGACAGGAGTCACAGGACTATGATAGCTGTAATCTGTGTATTTGGCCTCCATCTCAAGTCACATATTTCTCCAGAACACAATAATATTACACTACATGAGCAGAATATACACTGGGATTCTTGAGTAAACTTTCACTTGCCAGTTGATCCAAGACAATGACTTTTGCCAATCCTTTCCCCCATTTCTCTAACATCAAACACCTGTACCACCTACATTAAAGCAGGCACCATAAAACACTGCTGAATATACAATGAGTCACAACTAATCTTCGTAAGCAATTTGAAGTTCAGAGGTTAAAATGAGATCAATTCTAGCTATAATTTCAGGAGATAATCGAAAGCTCTGGCTCACACAAAGTGCAAACATTTCTGAATCCAGGTTTACTTGCCTTTTTCCTTTGGAAGTTCACATCGAGTTTCATTGAGGCGCACTTATTCAGCGTGTTCAGTCGTCTACAAATAAAGGGACACCCAAAGATTAGAATCTCATTAATCAACTTTCTTGACTCTATAATATTATACTTTTTGTCCATTTGTATGGATGGACCTTAAGCAGCACCTGTAAAGCAAAATCAACAAGGAAATTTTCAACACTAATTAGCATACATGGTATTGGTACAGAAATCTATTTTCTCCTGCCACCCAGCTTATTTAGCAGTTGGGCTAAAGGCATAACAGATAGCTAACCCCAATAATGTAATCAGAAATGGAATTTCATATCTCATGTTTTTACAAACTCTGACCCATGTGATAGTTTGATGGACTTTATGAAAAACCCTAATATAAAAAATAAAGTGAAACAATCAATGAAAAACAACTGGACTAGAAATTTCTCCATTTAAAAAGCACCAATAAACATGGACAAATGTGCTTAGATTTGAGTGAGGCCTACTGTATATATTCCTAAATAGGTCAACCTCATGTATAAGTCAAAGGCACATTTTGGGACCAAAGATTATGAATTTTGATGTGACCTATAGATAAGTCAAATGTCATTCCATGGAGAAGGGAAAGTTTCAGGGCTGTCTTAGGGAGCCATCTGTCTCTGACCATTGCTGCCATTTTCCTGCCCAGGATTAAAAAATACTTCTTTGTGGCAACAGAGACAGTAGAGGGAGTTGGTGCTTTTTAAAGGTTCTCTCAGGATGGATTAAGCTCTTGACTTTTTGCCACTCCAATCAGAGAAGAAGGTGGTTCCCTTCTTGATAAGAGATAAGATATGATTTGATTACAAATTTAGAGTTATACATGAGTATATGCAGCGGTGGTTCCCAATCTGTGGTCCGTAGACCACTAGTGTTCTGCAAGAACTAAAATATGGTCTGCTATCTCACCATTACTACACCATTACAATGAGGGCAACTGGTTTCACGAAACCTTCTTATAGGCTTATTAAATAAAGTTTTCTGTAAGCAGATGGTGACTACTGGATGACATAAATTCTGTATCAGAAACTAGAGCTGATGTGGTCTATCCAATGCAGTTTTCTGAATCAGCACCCCAAATAACCAAACTGAATCTAAAGTTGACCAAAAACCGATTCATAACCCTTTTCGTACAAATGTTGGAGAGTGGTCCCTCGTCAAAAAAAGGTTGAGAATCACTAACATACAGTAACAATCATGGTTTAAAATCCTCCACTGTAATTCCACGTCTAACTCTTGCAATTAAATCAAACCCATGTTTGGAGAAATGTAATTATTTTAGGAGAACTGAAATAAGCAGGAAAGCAAGAGTGTTCTTTCCTCCTACTGTTATTTCTGCACAAAAAGTGATCTATCTTTTTGAAACCCCAAACTTTTTGAAAACACAGTTGCTGAAAGCAATAGGTCTCTGTCAAGATATAGCACTTTTGACACTTCTTCAACCTCAGTTCTGTGAAGCCAAAGTAGAATAACTTTTTTTCAAGAATACCAAAGTTTGCAGAGCTCCGAATAATGCATTACTTTTTCCTCTAAAGCTCCTCTGGGAAAAATGATGCTAATGTTTGGATAGTTGTGGTCAAGAAAAGCAACATTTAAAGATTCTGCTATAGACTACACTAATTGTTCAACTTTATCAGATAACTGATTTCACCCAAATTGTATATAGTTCTAATGTCAATGTTAAAAGACAAGCCCTCCTTGAAGACTCAGGATTATATTTTAATGGAGTCGATGTCCAAATTCCAGCTTGCTGATTTATCGGTCCATATTTCAAGCTAGATAGATGATGACATATCTTCTGGGGTCTGTCCAATATTTTGAAACAGATTGTGCCAATAAAACAAAAGGATTAATGGTTCTCTTTACGTCTCTAGAGTTTCCAATTAAATACAGCCTGCCTGGATTTCTCACACCCTCTTGATGTGCCAATAGGAGAAGACAGAGTTCTCCATCTGCTTACATCTGTCAGTGGAATGGGAGTGAAATCCTAAGCAAGAATAATTTGGAGACTAGAAAGAACAATCAATGGCAAGTTAAACAAAGTAAGGACTTTGTTTTATGTGTGTTGTGATTTGAATATAGAAATCTCCTTCTCATTTCCTCCAAATACATGTTATATATGGGCTGGCATCCTATTGGATTTTTACACACATTCACTGTACATACATTCCCTTTTGTGCAATTGGGATTCTAACAGGGTCCACAGTTGGTTTATGTTGCTCTTCAATAAAACAGTGTAGTGCAACCAGTGTGACCGTACATTTGCACTGCGAAAGCACAATGTTTAAGCTTTGTTGTGTTATAAAAATAAGTGGAGACCAGGGCCAGCCACTGAAGATAAGTGGTGGGAAATTGAGGACAAACAAAAGGAAATCACACATAATGTAGTTAAACCTTAAAATTTATCTTGATTGGATAAACACTAGCCTGGGCACTTTTAATTTCATCAGTTTAATTTGATGTATACCACACCTTACTGCCAAAAAGTAACCCAAGTTTGCCAACAGTACTAACATGAAGACTTAACAATAACTTCTTCATTAGAACATGTAACTTAAAACCATTTCAGTTTAAACCACAATTAACATTGCAACAGGAAAAAGTGAACACTTAAGCAGTTAAATCCAATACAACAACAGACAAATTGCCTCACAGGAGCTTAAATGTCAAAAGTCTGCTTGAAGTAGGAGTTATGGAGCCAGGTTGCTGTTTTTTCTAAAGTTTGCCAAAAGAAACTGCAATGCAGGCATATGTGTACACATTCATAGCTACAACTTCGATGCATATTGTGGGGTTTTTTTTTACACTTGGGGGTATGCAATAGTCCAATTTATTTATTTATTTATTTAAGACATTTACATGCCACCCTTCTCATTCCGAAGGAGACTCAGAGTGGCTTACAAGTAATATGTAAATACAATATATTATATTTTTTCCATAGCACAATATTAGTATTATATATTACTATAATGTACTATACCATTATAATGTAATATTATTAGTAATATTACATATAATATAAAATATATTATTATAATATATTATTATTAGTATTATATTCCTGGGAGTTCTATGGTACTACACAAAATCATTGGAGAGGGCCAAGAGTGAGATCTCTGAGCAGACAATCTAGAACACCTTGTCCCTTCAAAACACTGCAATGAGTTTGGTTCATACTAAATATAATACTATGCTGACCAAAACCTCTTAAAACTGGGTGGCCTTCTGGGTGGCCTTTTGGCCTATTCTCCTGTTCTTTTCTGACACCTTAAAATTAGTCCAAATAATAACTTCCTGTGACCCAAGAGTGCAGCTGTTGTGGAGCAGCTGCAAAGGGAATCCAGACCAGGCTATGCAAGGGTCAGAGACAATGGATGCAACAATACTTCCTACATCTTAGTTTCAAGACGTGTCAATGGCCTTTGTAAATACCTCTTGGCCATTTGATCTCTGAAATGGTTTGGCTTTCTAAAAATGGCAACAGCAGCTTCTTGAAGTGGGAAAAGATGTGTAACACTTGATTTTAAGCAATATCGTATTTTAGGTTCGCAAACAGATGTGTCTACTAGATCCAGCATTCCATTGTGCTACTACAGAGTAACCACTTATCACATCACTGAGGATATCTACATCCTTTTATTACTGGTCCCTCAGCCTAGAAAAGGTAAAATTGAATGCTTCACAGATGTCTAGACGCCAAGTGAATAACACTACAGAACAGATAGTGTTTGGGTTTGGATATGAAAGGCTCAGGTTCACATTCTTGTCCATTTATGCATGCAGAAACATAACAATTTTCCTTATAGGTCAGACCATCGGTGCATCTTGTCAAATAGAAGTTCTTCATGTTTTTAGACAAAATTCTTTCCTAATCCTACTTGGAGAACCTTGGCAATATCCGATCACAGTATTGACCAGGACCAATCTGCTGAGCTTGTAAAATAAGATGAGTTTTGGTGTGTGTTCAGGGTGCTATGTTAAGCTTAATTTATATTAGGTTAGATATGGATCACGGCTAAATGTCTATAACCTATGAGGAGGAAGGATTTGCTTTACACAATAGTAGTTGCAGTTATGAACGGGTGTCTCCTATTGCTTCCTTTACTACCACTTACTGCTTCTTGTCCCCTCACAATTCTCAGTCCATTCCCAATTTCCCTTATAATGTGGCAAGCACACACCTGGAATGTGGGAAAAAGGCAGGAAACACTGTATATAAACGGTGGGTGTAACGAAATATCTAATTATAATGTAAGTTTTGAATGTGATTATTAATGTTGGTATATGGCAAGCGCAGGCCAGCCTTAGCTACAGCTGATTGGTTGATGCATTGCTGTGGTAACAAAGCTCCTGCGGTAGAAATGTATCCATTTCAGAAGAGCCAGGAGGACAAAGGGGCAGAGCTAACTGACAACAGGAGAGTGGACATTTTATATAATATGAGCCAGTCTTTAGCTGGGTGAGCTAAAGAGATCTTCTCTTTAGCTCTGACCATATAGTCTCTGACTATATGGGAGCTGGAGTAAGGAGGTTCCTATTATAAATTGATATTTAAAGTATTAAAGGAACCAATTTTGAAATAGAATCTAGCCTGAGCGCTAGGGGAAAGACTTTCCAGTATTATATTGTGTCTTCAGTGGCAGAACTGAAGCAAAGAAAAGGATAATATGTGCCTAAGTATCAGTCACTGGGACTGAGGAGAAAAGTGTTCTCTGAGAAATAAATTTACAGCTAAACTATTGATAAGAAGGAGAAACTACAGAATTTTAAGATAGTCAGGAGACTGAGAAAGAAATACATTTTAAAGTAAAAGGAAGTTACTAATCCAAGTTGGCATAAGATAAGCCATTCTGAGTGTACAGTAACAGTTTCATGGGTTCAAAATAATAAAAGTCAACTGTAACAATATCCAAGAAGTACTGAAAAGATATATACTGTGTAACCATTACACTTTATGTGCCTGAGAATCCCTAAATAATTTTTTTTGTTCAATTCTTACAATAAAGACTTGAAAGTTACTGAAGTGAAGGTATTCTATAGGAAGATGGCTAAAGGTCATATTGGAGCTAGATATCGTGTATGGTATTGGGTTTCACATATTAAAGAGACACAAACAAGCATAATAAAAGTCAAGTCTCTCACAAACATAAAATATATTATATAATGTACTCAGCCACTATTACTCATCTCTTTCCCCACATACATATTGATATCCACGTTCCGGTGGGGATACAGGAAGCACTACATTTTCTCTTCTTGTTCATTCATTTTCTGCTTCAAATTTTCCCAGGGCTCAAGACTACAGATTGACTCTTCACTTGACTATGAAAACCCATTAACTGACCTTGGACAAGCCACATTGTCTTAGTAAGATGGAAGCAACAGCACATTTTGCCAAAGCATAAAAGGGTTGCTATTAAGTCAAGAGTTGGACACATAACAACAAAAGTTTAACGTACACTGAGAAGTGCTAAAATAGTATGAAAGTATAAAAACAACAGCATCAAAAAAAGAGAAACACTTTACCTACAAAGAGGTTCTACAAGATCCTTTTCAAGAAAATCATGATCTTTCTTTACAGCAGCAATGTCAATAGGAAATTGGGAATCTAGAAGAGAACAAACACTGTTTAGTGGAATAAGAAAAATGTATTTCTTTCCTAAAAACTCTGGATGGACTTTCAGACTAAAACACAAACACAACCAGAATTTTTCCTAAGATTATTTTGAATAACAGGTTTCTAGACTGTTCTATTAAGAGTTGTCAACTGAATCGTTGCCAACATGTCAGATTCTGAATATAAAAAGACATCAAAGGGATTATTCTTCTATTTCCAACCAGATTTTGATCAGTATTATCAAAAGGAAGCTGCTGTTCATTATTCCAAAAGGCAGTGTGGCCAAATGCTTTGCAATGACATATTTGAAGGCTTTCTTGAAACAGATATGGTGGTTATGATGCTATACCAGGAGCCCCCGGTGGCACAGTTGGTTAAAGCTCTGAACTGCTGGACTTGCTGACTGAAAGGTCATAGGTTCGAATCTGGGGAGCGGCGTGAGCTCCTGATGTTAGCCCCAGCTTCTGCCAACCTAGCAGTTTGAAAACATGCAAATTGAGTAAATCAATAGGTACTGCTCTGGCACCATGAAGTCATGCCAGCCACATTACCTTGGAGGTGTCTACGGACAACGCTGGCTCTTTGGCTTAGAAATGGAGATGATCACCAACCTCCAGAGTCAGACATGACTGGACTTAATGTCAGGGGAAACCTTTTCCTTTACCTTAGATGCTATACCAAAGCTTTCCTTATAAAAGGTACATAAAATAACATGGGTGCATAGGTCATTATTTTCTTGCATTTATTGTCTAGTCTCCTCACTTTATTAGAGAGATCCAAAGCATCTAACAGTAAAAATACAACATTACCACTGCAAATGTTACATAGTGTTTTTCTATTGTTTGGAAACATAAGTGCTTTCACCAGCTGTATGAAACAAAAGGTCTTATCGGAGAATGGCACTGCAATATTGTAAACTATGGGTTGACATTTGTGAAACAGGGCTACAATTAGACAGAATGCCAGTTATGGCATCAGCAGTTACATGAATGGCAGACAAGAGGGCTGATTTTGAATGAGACTCTTCCAATTATGAGAAAGAGTGGTGCTTTAAGGCTTTGTACTCCATGGATGTCCAACTCCAGAACAGGATACTGTGTTAGAAGCAACACTTCTATGGGCACCTATAGGAGCCTTTCTTTCTATGCAAATGGGATAGAATCTGGATGGGGCAAGGCAAATGTGGCAATGCCTTGCCTAGAAACACGAGTGAGCTTTGGAATGGTACTTTGGACCACAGCAGTTGTCTCCTTATCATTTTCTATTGTACAGATCCTGTATTCTCCCTTACGAGCAACCTGGGATAAGGAGGAATTGCTCTATTTGCTTTCCCCATTAGTGTCTATTGCCTAATGATAGCGGCCTACTAAAGCTAACACAATGCCCTTTTCCCACAATGCATTAAACACGGAGCAAATAAATACTGTCCTCAAAACATACCTTCATAGAGTTGGGCATACTGTGGGAATCCAGCAGCTCGCAACCAGTCACAAGCTTCTTTTGCTTCAATTTCTGAAATACAAAGAAAAATGCAATGCATTCAATTCCAGTTTTATGTTTTTGGTATTTTTACTTTTGTGCATGAAAGCCAGTATTGAAAATACAGAGATTTCATTTCTTCATATACAGGTAGTCCCCGAGTTACATACAATCCGACATACAGGGGTGGGGGAGACAACAGGAAGTAAGAAAAATCTACCCCTAGGAAGGGACATTCACTCCTGAAAGAGTTATCATGGGGAAAAGGTGTCTCCATTGAAGCTTTTCACCAATCCTTGTTTCCACAACAAGTCAAATTTTTCGAAATTCAATTATCACAGGGACAGAAAGTGAGGTGAAATCTTCTGAACAGAGGCACAGACAGTGAAACAAACACCACAGGGAGTTAACCCTTCATTATGTTATCCAAAGCGCTCTCTCTCTCTCTCTCTCTCTCTCTCTCTCTATATATATATATATATATGGCTCGCAGTACACTTAAAAATGTACCTGTTCCAAATTACAAACAAATTCAACTTAAGAACAAACCTACTTTGATATCAAATTCATTTCTGGTTTTAAAAAGTCTGACCAAGGTGCCTTGTACATCATTTGTCATTGTATGCACATTGAATCACATTAACAATTTCAGCAGCAGGAGCTGTGGTGGGCAGACACTTCACTTGCAAAAAGTACACAACTTTTTTTTGTCAAGAAAGTCAAATGTTGGTTTAGCAGGGTTCTGATCATTAGAACGGCTTTGTGGAGTCTCTGTCAGGTCACTGAATGTCTTTTGATTCAACTTTGGTTAAGAAGATGACAGTCTCCTCTTCCCTGCTACCCAAGGAGAGAGTTCATGACCGATATGACAAAAGTGCTACACACATAACTGATGAAAGCACACTGCTGTGATGAAAGATCAGTTTAAATAACAGTGTCTTCCAGGTGGCAGATTTTATACATATATAGGTGTACAACGGGTCTTAAAGAAATGGGAATAATACAGCCCTCCAAAATGTTGTTGGATGGCGACTACCAGTAGCCCTAGCTAAAATATCCAGTGGTGAATAATGTTAGGTGATGCAGTGAAACAATATTTACAGGTCAACATGATTCCCATTCCTGTTCCAGTGCATTATCAATCGTAAGCAATGCATTTCTTGTTTAAGAAAACCCTACTAAATGTATGGGGTTGCCTCAAGTCATTGGGTGACTTGAAGATATTCATATATCTGCTTTCTTTTTGTTATTTGTTCAGTTGCTTCCAACTTTTTGTGACCTCATGGACCAGCCCACACCACAGCTCCCTGTTGGCCGTTGCCACCCCCAGCTCCTTCAAGGTCAAGCCAGTCACTTCAAGGATACCATCCATCCATCTTGCCCTTGGTCAGCCCCTCTTCATTTTTCTTTCTATTTTCCCCAGCTTTCTAAACATAACTATATAAGCAATTGCGCTAGCTGTGCTTGAGTCTGGAATCAGTGGCTCAATCAAAATAAATGAGTCCCATCCTCCTTGCAACGACAGCATATTTGCAATGGCTAAAAGATTCCTCTGACCTGTCAAGTTGCTGTGTAAAGAGCTCTTTCAAGAAAGAAGAAAGGTAGCTGAAGGTGAAGTGGTGAGCTGCATCCTAAAACCTATTAGACAGACTGTGGGACTGTCTTACCCGTAGCAATGCTACTTGTGAACAAAATGAGGTTGTTTCTATAGAGAGATGTGATTAAGTGGAATGGATCTTTTCCATCTTGTTGCCATCTGTTTTTGAGTCATTTCTGATATATAGGGACCCTAAGGTGAATCTATGATGTTTTCTTGGTAAATACTGTTCAGAAAAGTTTGTCTTTACAACCCTCTGGGCTGTGAGAGTGTGACCTGCCCAAGATCATTCAGTGGCTGAGCATAATTCAAATTCTCATTGTCCAAAACTAAACTACACTGGCTTTCCTGTCCCATTTATCTGGTGGCATTAAATGATTTCCCCTTATCAACAAAGCACTGTTTCTGTGATTAAAAGCAGACACAGGCAGGGAACCATATAGATAGATAACTGTAGATAACTGAGAAGATTTATTTATATCAAAAGCATTGCATAAATTAGTATAAAACGGATAAAAATAGAAGGTGTGCAGGCAGCTAAATATCTTTTGGCCAAAAACAGGCAACAGCAATGGCATTGTCTGTAGCCTCCAACAATTCCTCCTCTGTACATGAGGCAGGGCACAATGGACAAGCATACAGATGCAAAGTTGTCTGTTCTGCTTCACAGTCACACAAGGTATGGGATTCTTTTAGGTAGTCCATTTTGCCAGGTTGTCTTTTGATCTGCCCACTCCACTTCTGAGTCTATTCAGGGACCTCCAGGTTGCCCATTCTTGGTTTGCCCCTGGAGGAATACCCTTGTGGGGGGCCATCCAGTTGGGATTTCCTGATTTAGCTGCCCAGTGGGATACCCCTGCTGTTGCTGGAGGGACGCCAAGAGGAGTGGTAGTGCCTGAGGACATTTTGTGTGACATCTTATGTATACAGGAAACACACAGAGACATCACAATGAGAAGACCAAAAATCCTCAGAATGCAACTGAGAAGATCATTACAACTTTTCTCTGAGTGTCATTGAAACAATGCACATGAAATGGAAAAAGTTAATCAGTACTTCTGTTTTTTTAAATCACACAGAAGCAACCCAGTTTAGCATGTAGTATTGTATGTATTTTTCCTGACTTTTGGCAATGAGGTTTTCAGATGCATTAAAATGATTTCTTATGGTGTAATATAATCAGTGCTGAAGCAAAAAAAAAAAAAAAATGATTAGAAGAAATAATCTTTCAAAGCAGCCGTTATCTTTGTTCTAGGATATTTTGTGAAATGTAATGATAGATACAATAGTCCAATAAAAGTAGCAATTTGATTTCATAACAGTGGGAGCAAATCCCTCCTGATTTGTGACTCATAGGCAATTTAGCCTTCCACTGAAGCTTTCATTGGGTAGAGGAGGACAAGTCATCCATAAAAGGTATGAGCAAACATTTGCCCATCTGTTGCCCCTGTAGAGGCGATCTGAGAATAGGAAAACAATTCAATGTAAGTATATATGGAGGGAGAGGAGAGAAAAAAGTATTTATAGCTATAGAAGCTCACTTGAATTCTGTCCACTGCTACTTTAGACTCTTGTAGGGAGAAAAGAAAGAAACATGGCCTTAAATAAAATACTGAGTCAGAAGAAATCATAGTATGCCATTCTTTTGCCCTCCAACTTATTATTAATTCACATTCATAATAGCTACTAATTTAAGATAGCTGAGTAAACAACAGTAGCTCAACAATGCAAAATACATAATAAAAAAGCAAAACAAAGAAATCTCAGTGGGAACTGAGATTCAAGTACTGTACTGTGAAAGCAAGAGAAAAACAGAAAGGCCTCCCAACTGAGAAGAGTTGCCATTCTAATCAAGTCACCAACATGGTTCTTGAGCGCATCCTGAAACTTCAGTTGGTTCCCTTGGATACATCCTCATTATGCACACTCCTCAACTCAAATTGCAGTTTTGGGAGTACTGATCTATCAGCCATGGTGTTAAAGGAAAAATGTAAACTTGCCTGTCTTGGATGCTGCTATTAAACAGAAACATTAGAAAAAAGGCAACCCTAAACAGTTCTGGCCCAGCTTACCTGTCTGAATGCATCTCTCCTTATGAACCAGCTAGGCCCTTAAGATTGTCTGGGGAGGCCCTGCTCTCAGTCCTGCCTCCTTCACATATGCGATTAGCGGGGACGAGAGACAGGGCCTTCTCAGCGGTGGCCCCTCAGCTATGGAACAAGGGATATCAGATCGGCCCCTTCCCTCGTAACATTTCAAAAGAAAGTTAAAACCTGGGTTTTTGAGCAGGCATTTGCAGATGCAGTGTAACAGATTAATTTAGACCCACGGAACGATTGGATGATGTGACAGAAAAATGTTTTTAGTGATGAGACGCTGAGGACTTGCGTTTTATGGTTTTTATTGTTCTACTGTTTTTATATGATTTATATTATATTTTAATGTTTTAACTAGATTTTTATGTTGTGGGGGGCATTGATTGCCGACTGTAAACTGCCTCAAGTCACCTTGGTTGAGAGGCGGTATATAAATATAGTAAATAAATAAACAAAATACCCACTAAAGGATAAGTAATGCTTCAAAAATATTTGACAAAGCTATAGGGTAGAATAACGTTCCTACTTTTTCATAATACATTTTGTGTAAGTCAACCGACCCCCACCTCATCTCCCTTATATGTTTTGGATTATGATTTCCATCAATCCTGCTCAGTATGAAGAATGGTCTTTTAGCTGGGGACAATGGGACGTGTAGTGCAATGTATCAGATATTGTTACTTGCCATATCCCATTCCTGGATTAATTAAAATGTAAGTCAGGGAGGCAAAAATAAAACTGCAGAATCAACAGTTGCCTTTTTTAAAAAAAGATAATAAATTATTTTTTTTGCTGAGGCCTTTTTTTTTTTAAAAAAAGCTTGTCTCCAACAATTCTAAAATAATGTATTCAAACCAAGAGAAGAATTTTGGCAACTACTTTTGCTGTTGTTGTTTAGCCTTAGTGGCAGTCCATGTGGTCCTGGAGGGTCCCAGAGGCAGAATACGGGCTCCAAATCTCTAGCAGGTGGCTGTTCTGGCTTGTCTATGGGTAGGGCTGAAGTTATTTAAAAATATTTATCTGGTGCTTACAATTTACCCATATTCTAACTACGATAATCATTACCACTATCACTGATGAATTTAATAAATCGCTAAAGGATTTATTTTCACAAAAATTACATGGAACCAGTAAAACAGTGATGCGAGATTACACGCTACCAAAACAATACATATAATAAACAACATTAGGTAACATTAGGTAGCAGATTAAAGTATTAGTGGAAAATAAACCATAATCTAATCAAAAACAAACTTGTTTAAAACAATGTAAGTTTTAAATATTGTGAAAACAAAATGGGAATCTTATAAAAACGTGAGACCAACAACAACAAATAATAA